GGGAAATCAACATGATTGCTGGCAATCAATTATGGCGGAACTGAAGAGATTGTGTAAAGAATCGACTTTCCGATCAGACTTTTTGGGAGAATTTGAGAGAGAAATCGTTGCTTTGGCAAGCACTTATTCGGTGACTGAGTTTGTAGTTTATATAGGTTCCACTACAAAAGTCAATCATTGAACATTGTCTTCGTCAAGTTTATAACTGGTATAAACAAATTTTCCTTACGTATGACATCATAAGTCATAACTTCAATACTGACATTTAAGTCCCACGATGTACATCAATCACACAACTTGTAAACTCCACTTGGCGTTTTTCAGTGGCAACGTGAAGAGAAAAGAGTGCCATTTACATATTTGATCAGTTCGAATTTTTCAAATTACAGCAAGCCAACACTTACCACATTTGAAGGCCAACGATATTTATATGCCTACGAGAAAGGACAAATGCAGAACATTTGACTGGTTCGCATTCAATAATCATGCTAGTACTTCTTCATTTAATCGGAGTTTCGATGAAAACTTAGACTGATATGAAAGATTTCTTTACAATAGATTTGACGTGTTCGCAGAATCAATGTTCGGTAAGTATTTCAAGTACGGAGCGCAACGTGAGCTCAAGTACTCTTATTCAGGCCTTGTTGCTTACTTGGCATCAACCTAGAAGTAATAAGGGTAGCTGCTAAGCTTCAAATAGTGCAGGATTCTTCTAAGAATCTAGGTCTTAAGTGAGACAGATGCTTAGAATAAATAGTGCCAACCTAAAGCATGCATGAATAGTCCTCGATAGACGAAGTCCAACTAGTCATCTCGTAGGAATTACGATCTCCAATTGTTTTCTTTTAATGGAAACAGTATTTCATGACAAGTATTGAATACTTCATCGTGCGAACACAAGCCAACACGGTGAGCTACAAAGCCAGTGGCCTGTAGCAAAGTATACAATCAATTGTTGTGTGCCTTGCTGATCTCGATACATGATCAGTTCAAAGGGATTGATCACTAAATTCTTGATCATCGACAAAGAGACAGAAGCCGAGTCTAAAACATACAATCACAAATAAAATATGTAAAAGAAAATCTTGCGCATTGCGATGGCAGTTAGGGGATACTAGACTTATCACGATTTGAAAAAAAATTCACCTGAACGGTAGGATTTAGATGAACCAAATATTGATTGTGATACGTCATGAAAACTATCACAAATAACAATTCTGGCTAAATATATTTTGCAAACGTTGGTAAAAATTAATAATCAATCACTCCAGCTACTTCTTACTCAATAATTGTTTAGAAAAAGACCTTCTTGACATGAGCTTATGAATCTCCAAAGAGTATTACATATACAATTTCCCGTTGAGTGTTGTTTGTGGCGTCGTGTGTGACTAAATCGATGGTGATTTCAGCTTGAGAAAAGATTTATTGTCAGTCTTTTATCTCTATAAATATGAAGGCAGACACTGTCAAAAATTTCCCCTCTCCCGGTTTAACGTGGGGAACTTGTAACTTTGTGAACTGCTGGCCAATTTGGAAACCAAACAGTAACTGTATGCTCCATGCGTCGAAGAGCTCGTGACTTTTGATAACTAGTGCAGTTAAACTGTTAAACTCATTTCTCAGGAAAATGAACAAAAACCTTGTTATTTTTACTGATTTGAATGCTTTTTATCACATATATCGATCATTGTCTAATTTCCCTCTTTACTAGTCGGCTGAGCAGGCTTAGAACTCTTTTGCGCAATTACAAGAAGGGCTGAAAATAGGGAGGTTCAAGTCTTATTTCAAGTCTTATTTCAGCAGGCTTGATATCGTAGCTTAGGAGTCACATTTTTTTCTTGCGGTGCCACCGAATTCCCGAGAATTAATTTCAGTCCTAACTAACTAACTCACAAAAAAAACACATAAAAGGGAATTACATGGCCATGGAAGGCAAAATATTCCTTTTCTGTCTATCGTTTAACTGATTAAGGTCACTCGCCTTCTCTGCCTGCTTCAGCCCAGAGTTGAGGGAATGTCTTGTAGGAAAGAGCTGATGTAATCATCTCAACCAATTTCTCGCCCAGTTTGCGAATGAAGTGATTCCTCCCATTCGGTTAACAAGCTGATCGGCCGGCAATGATCCACATGTTTGACGCTGAACACATTAGAACAAGATAAATCACACCTTGGACACTCAACCAAGTGTCAAAATACGGCGTCAATCAGAACAGTAAATAGGAGAGTCATCTGAAGGTTTAATTCATAGTCTGAAGTTCTGTTAAGCTTGATATAGAGGAAGTCAAAGAGTAGAGAATTACGCAGTACGTATCATGCGAACTGATAACTAGGAACATCGCCTGTCAATTCAATGTACGTAAAACTATCACCTTAAGTTAAGTGTTCCTGCGTAAAATATTACAGAAATTTCTACTGGGGTAAACATGGTAACAGCTTCAGTAGACGAGTCAGATGTTTTAATCAGTTTTTCACGGCACTAAAAAGCTTTACTTGTGAAAGTTACCTAATCCAGCAGTCATATCAGAGATTTGCAAGCTTTCCGTTGAGAAAGCTATAACTCTATCGTTCAGAGCTTTCAAAATGGTGCATTTTCAACATTCCGCGACCTTCTAGGGTTATTTAGTACATAGCGAAAGTGTTATTGCCGACAGAGTCAGACACTAAAAAAATTAATGCACATGCATTTATACCGCGTACAAGAATGCTTGTTTTTTGAAAACGAACGACTCGACTGGTGACTAGAGACTCGCTCGGTAAAGAAATTGTATAACCTTGTCGATAAGACAAATCTTGATACATTATCGCTAGTTTCACGTCATCTTGCTTCTGTGGCGATAACATCATAGCGAAGGTTTACCACTAGCGGCTTACCTTCTATAAATCTTGGTTCAAATTTGCGGTATCCGGCTTCCTAGAATTCCAGATCAAAGTTCAACAATTATAAAACAGTTCTCTTTACTACTAATTGAAGATGAAATTCTTCGAAGAGCGGTTTCCTGTTTACTATTTAACGCTTATCAACACATGGATTGTAACTAATAACGTAATAATAATTGGGATTGACCACAACCTACACGTAAAATAGGTAAGACGTCTTTGAAGAGATACACTCCCGACGTTTTCATGAATAAACAAGGCAAAGAAAAAAAATGAAGAATAAATAATAAATCTTTTAATTAACACTTCAATTTAAACATCAAGAAATTTAATTGACAACTTTTGAAATTTAGATATAATTTCTTTTTTTATTATTATTGGCAGGTTTTAGCAACCTTTTTGGGATCCGAGTGCGTAACTTTCTGACTATTTACGAGCACATGCAATCGGGACAGGCATAACAGAGGGTCTCGATGGGGTTAACCGTTAGCCGTAAAACGTCTTAAAAATATACCGTTAGCCTTAAAAATTGACAGGTTTTAATCGTTAGTTGTAAATAAAGGTTAACCGTGAAAATTTTCTTTGAACTGTGATGGCAAGAATTTAACTATTAGTCGTAAAAACCATCACCCTATGGGGCCTAAAAACTGCAGGATTAATTTTTTACCTTAATAAAATTTCATGTTTTGAATAACCCGTTATGTCTTAGCAAGTGTACACTAACAGCTTACGGTTCCTCACCTATGGCAACGGTGCCTTGATGAGAAGAAAAGGCATTCCTCTCTCTTTCTTAACTATCAAGTTATCATCCTACTTAGTGAACTGAAAATCGGTAGAAACCACTCTAAAAATCGTTGCAGCTACAACACAACAACAACAACATGGGCACGCGTGGACAATCAGTCATCGCTTCCTGTCCGTTCTTCCTTTCAAGGACCACAATAACATCATCACCCCCGTCGTGAAAGCTATTAGACGAAACCTGCAATAACCTGGTTTTGTCGGACGATGACCAAACCAATCACGATCTCAAAAGTAGTTGGACAGTTTACAAAATAGAAAAGACTTGTTCATTATTATAGCGGGTAATTTAGTGTTAACAACTGAGTTGAAAACGTAAATTGGCCACCGTAAAGGGTAAAAAAGCTGACGTTTCGAGCGTTAGCCCTATACTCTCCCATCGACTTGGAACCACAGTTTCTTTAGAAACTTTCTCACTCTTGTTCATTATTATACACTGAAAAATGCAGCATGACGTCTAAATCAGTTGTTAGCCTAGATTTTTCATGATCTGCTAGCTCTTTAAAATGCGTCCGTCTTAACTGTCAGTGAACCAATGAACATGGCAACAATTTCGGTAAAGCTAACAATTTTACGCGCTTTGTGTTTCTGTTACACACGCGTCTCTGTTAAAAACCGACCCTAATTCATTCTTCAGTTTAGGAAGTCTCGCAGTTTTTGTTTTATTTTTGTTTGTTTTGTTCGGTACTTTTCCTTTTATTCCTACTTACATTTGACGGATGTAAATGAACACAATCGCCTTTCTTTCCTCTTGGGTTTTTGACTATGCGGTAACCGCTCAACAGTTGGAAGGAAGTGATATTTCGATCAGCAAATGAAATAAGGTTGTTTAGGGCAAAATTAAAGCGTTGTTTAAATTTCCTTATCAGAAATTTTAAATGTCAAGACGTGGACCTGAAAAAAAGGAAAAAAACTGAAGGAAATGGACTTTTCAGGAGTGTTAAATGTGTAAAATTTCTCATTTCTTATCAGGAAGCATTGAGCTATTGGCTGAGTGGGTGGGGGAGAAGGAAAATCTTTCGAACTCCGGTTTTCTGTTGACATATAATAAATATATAGTTAGAAGACATGTTGTCAATAATGTAAACTTTTGAGCCAATTAAACTTCATCATGGTATCTCTGAGTGTGTTTAGTCTCCGAGTGTTTTTTCATTCGACAAAAGGTGAGTATCTCAACGCTGTAAAGGGGCTTTCGCACACACATTTGCACCTTGAAAATAGCGTTCACACACATTGAGTAACTAAGGGGACAGCGCAATAGCGATCAGAAATCATGATTAAAAAGGCCTACTGTTAGTTTCTAGACAGTAGGGTATGAGTATGTACAGTGGTATTCTGCGATTGGTCGACAAGCTCCACTTGCGCAACCGCACCTAAGAATAAATGAGACGAAGAAGATCTAGGTTTGAGTTTGCTCACACTTTTCATAGTTAATCAAATCGTCTAAATCAACTTAGAGTCAGTACATTGGTCTATTAAACCGCGCTATTTGTAACGAACAACTTGAATTTTCCATAACTTAAAGTGAACCATAAGGGTGGTAAAATATATGAAAAATATTATAGGGCGGCTTGAACAAAGTAGATACAACCAGTTGCAAGCTTAGAAAAGGGAACATGTTTGGCGATCACCAATCAATGGGGCATCCAATGACCAATAAAGTCACAAAAAATTATCATTATCCCATGACCTTTCAAATGGCCCATGTCAATGATAGAATGGACGACGGTTCCTTAGGATTACACTATCTAAACTCGGCACTAGCCACTTTTTGATGAGGATAATAAAGTGTTTCCGGCGATATCATGATTTCCAGTCATGTCACATAGCAAGGAAAAATGGTCATCAAGAACGTTAGCTGAAGTAAAGTTTCCCCAGTGACAGTTCCCATTACGAGTTCAAGTCTAATTTAAGATTGGAATTGCGATTTTCTCGCGCTAAACTTCCTCATCATCATGTTCGTCATCGACATCATCAAAGTCATCAGTAATAACATCACCGAATCTTTCGATGAACTGTTTCTCGAAGACATCCATTGAGTCGGCGTCAATGAGGACAAAACGAATATCGTTTAGAACGGCTTTTGGGTTTTCTCTCTCCTTTTCTTCATCGTTAATTTCGCTCGGCGTGTCTTTCGGCGGCTTCGTCGATATTTCCTTTTTATCTGTTTGTATGTGTTTCTGGTTACTTTGTTTTGACCCTTTTTTCCTTGCATCTTCTTTCTTTGTTACCGTCGGCATCCTGAGATACTCCTCCACTGCGTTTAACATGGCAAAGGCACACACATCAATAGGGGCACCAAAGATACCGGAACTAATTGCTGGTATGGCAATGGATGATAAACCGAGTTTAGAAGCCACTTTAAGACTCTGGAGGCATGCTTTCTTTAGAAGTTTCATATTTTCTGTATGTGAGTGTTTAACCCACTCGGGACCAACGGCATGAATGACAAACTTACAGGGAAGATTTCCAGCGACTGTAGGTACAGCGTCTCCAATGTGAAGCGCTTGATAGCCGCGTTTTCGCATCAACGTGTCAGATTCCCTTTCAATTTCAAGCCCACCTCTTTGGACGATCAGCTTTGCAAGGCCAGCTAAGTGGGACAAAAATTCGTTAGCAGGATTCACGATTGCATCAACCTCCTCGGCAGTGATGTCTCCATAACGAAGGGAAATACACACACCATTTTCTGATCGATAACTAGAGGTTTCAAAAGAAATCATTTCTGGTGCTGCCATTGCCATTTCATGAGTACCAAGGCCAGTATCATAACTTTCTTGTTGACTCATTCCTCCTTCCACAGTTCGCCTGGCTTCTCTTACAGATACAGCATCACCATACACAAAAAACGGACCGTGTTCTTGGGGCCGGTCAATGATCACTGGGTACATAGTTCCAATGTAATCCATTAAAACTTTAGCTGAATCCTCGTCTGCACCTTTTAAGTCCAGCTCATTGATAACCATACCCTGGGTGACAGTTTTAATAAGTTCTGAAAGTTCACTGCAAGCAGTGTTGTATTTTGTAGGATCACAGTTCTGTTTAGCCTGAAGTATAACTCGAGTACCGTCATCCGAAGCGGTAATTTCCACAATAAATTTTGCATTGATTTCATCTAACTGCTTTTTAAAAAACTTCTCCATAAAACGGGAGGCATATGGATCTACTCGAAACCATCGTGCCTCTACTGTGGGATGAACACGTCCTTCCTGGTCGGCGCCGTTGACTTCATTGACAGGGATGACCTTCGCTCCGGGACTTTCATCGACTCTCGTAGCTACGATAACGTCAGATCTTCCAGACGTTGTTGGCGCCTTTCCTGCTCCCCCATTCTCGACTTCTGCGCCTTTGCTCGCCAAAGAAAGGTTGTTCAGTTGCGCATCGACTGGCTGACCTTCGCTTAGATACCTCATCACAAGAAAGTGGCATTCATTGATTTCTTTCAGCTTTCCAGTCAAAACAAACAATTTGTTATCGTTCTGGATAGATACATCGATGTCCTCTTTGACGTTTTCCAAAATCTGCTTGGCTTCCTGTAATGAAATACCCAACTCAACGGGATCCAACGTTGCCGTCACGTAAGTAAATATCTGTAGAAATTAATTAAGGAATCAATAGAGGTTTAACCTACAACTAGAATACGTTCAGAATTATATGGCTTAAGAGAATGTATGATGCCCCGTGACAACTAAATAATTGCCTCGAGGAGTCAGCGTGCTCCAACTGGTCTTCTTACCACTGTCAGAAAGAATTCTTAACCAACTCATATTTGGTTGCCGACTATGTAGCATGTGTGAAGACGTTACCTTGTATTGTCGAAAAATCAAACAAACAAACTCGCATGCCGTAAAGAACAGAACAGAATGAAAGAAAAACAAACCAGAAGGTAAGAAAGAAAAAAGGCACACAAACGCACAAAAAAACGGTTAAATATGTCATGAAATAAATCATGAATCGTAACGCAAAGCTGCGTTCGTTGCGTGACACATGCATAGAGTACGCACTACAACTTACCTCGTTGGATGTTGGTCTTCTATTCCCTGAAAGCCGATCAACTTTAAGCAACACCCCTTCAAACCTATGTTCTCCTTTCAAAACTTTCTCTACAGCTACGAAATAAAGAATGAGACACATGAAAATTTCTTATGAACGGTTCTCAGAGTTTTCTGTCCTGTAGTAATTAGCATAACAGATCCAAAAGTATCAACGAATCTTATAATTCTTTACGCCATTTTCAGCACCGTGTATCCAACATGAAGTGCGTTTATTGTGCCTTCTTAGGAGGAGGGCACAATTTTCCCTTTCTTTCCAACTTATCATCCCCTTTTGTCGTCTTAATAATTCATTCCCATTCAGTGCGACAGTTGAATTTCTTTGAAACCATCGATCACTCGACAGATAAATATTAAATGCTGCCTGTGTAAACTACTTTTTAATGAACTTTTTTCTCTGGCTCCGCTGTCTCCGCTAGCAGAGTAGCTGATAATTAATGGATTCAGTAAATTTTTTCGATAATATTTAGAATATTCGCTTTCAAATTTCACAAAATGCTATTTTTGCCCTAAAATTTGCAAATGCTCGATGATTGATACAACAGAACGAAAATCTATGAAACAAAATGAACTTACTCTCTTTCTCTTCAAATGTAATCACTGCTTTGTCTCCATTTTGTGAGAATTTCGCAGATGATACGTCGCCGCCGCCATGTTTATGCTGCTGAAAGTGAATAACAATAGCTTCACGTTTGGTTCCTGGAGTAATGCCTGAGACTAAGATGCTCTTTGCAATGTCTTCTGGACTAAAATCCACGAGACTGGATAGATCAGAGGCCATAAAGAGTCGAATAAGCGGGGGAATCGCTTTCCCTCAAGGCAGTGTTAAGAGATCAGTTCAACTGAATCTTCCAGAAGGTAATCTAGACGGTCTCAAAACAAAGGGTCATGGAACGTCAATTTGTCACGCAGTCTGGGGAATCACGGCAAAGAACTTTGAGCGCAAAACTTAATGAAATTCTATGATAGAAGCACTAAAATGATACATTTGATACACCACGGCTTTTTGCATCAGTAAACACAATTCCCAGTGATCATGCAAATTTTACTTTCCGAAGCCTTTTTTTTTTCCCTCACAATGACGTAATTTCTGAGAAACATAACAAAAGAAACAGGGTGCAGCTTTACCAAGCCAATAGCGAACCAGCTTAAGTCGTGGTAACCAATCACCTTCCTGTGAAAATGAAACCTTTCTACTATTTAGGAAACCCTGTTTCTCGGAAAAATTTGCATTTCCGTCTCTCTTACAGGATCGTACGATGTTCTTGAGAATCATAAGGAAACATGTTTCGATCTTGAGAAACTTCAAATGAGTAGTTCACTGATTTTCGTTTCTGGTTTTCCAGATGGAACGAGCGAAATAGCGCTAATGATATACTTCCAATCGGTGCGAGAATCTGGAGGAGGAGATGTCGAAAGCATCGAAATCGATCGCAGAACAGCCAGAATCACCTTCACAGAAGCGCAAGGTAGATTGTTTGAGTTACATTTGGCAGCGTTTTAATTAATAATCTTTCGATATTCTCACTTCGTCAGTGGTTTAAATCTTACCTTTAAGCGCAAAGTGACCGAAGATGACGGAAACAAAAATTGCTTATAAAAGCTCAGATACGAAACCGAAACTAAATTTCCTGTTTTATGTTCTACTCAACGCCGGTTAAGGCCAATATGAAAAGTGCATTCGCTTTGCACACTATTCTGTTTGCATTGAGCTTTGGGAAGAAGACCTGGCATAATCCTTTAAAAGGTTGGCGAGGAGAAAGGCTTTGCGAAGATTCCTAAATTTAAATGAATTTCGCGAGGAGTTCACGCGCTCGCTGTACAGTATTGCCTTATTTATGACTACCTTTTGGTATATAACTTTGCCCGATAACACACGCAATAGTAGCTTCCAATCTTAAAAAAGGATATAATTTTCACATCAAGACAATGCCTTGTGGGTTTTATGTAACCTGATGCAACCTTTTATCGAAGTAGGTAATCAATGCAGTATATTATTTATAGGCAATCAAAACAAAATATGCCATTCAAAGCAAGAACACTTGTTATATGAAATACTATCGTTTCAAGGAATACCACAAAAATAAACTTCATCGTGTAAAAACTGCTTTATTAACTATCATCCAACTACACTAAGTAGAGTAAAAATAGGGTGCAAATCGAGTGTAAAATATCAAGCGATATTCGGTCAGTTTGTCATTTTGCATTGTGAAAAAAAAAACGTGTTTGACCGGTCGGCTACGTGCGTGCTACGCTTCTCTATCTACTTCGCTTTTCCCACTTGAATTTTGACTCGCCTTGCAGTCAGTTTCATGATGAACTTAGCCACGTGTGTTTCCTGTTGCTTCACTCGTGTTGTGAAATAACTGTAGTACATCACCGTATAAGTACTATCCCTCATCGGTGGAGAAGTACGGGCTCATCCAAATACGGCACCATTCGTAAAAATGGTCAGCGATACTACATACTAAAACGTGCAATATAATATATATAGCTCAGGCGTACTCAGTCCGCTGATTTCTAAAATCTATTTCAGAACCAATTAAAATAAGGCCACAACGACAAGTCCTATCGTATAATGACATTCACATGACGTGCAACCTAACAACTGGGTTTTTTTATTATTATTTGGAACTGAAAAAGTCGCAGATAGAGTGTTGAGCCTACCCCATACTTTAAATATTTCAATATTCAATGAATACTGCAACGTTCGCCACACAAAATATTTAGTAAAGAGGATTAGATATTATATTTCAACATAGAAAGAAGGGTATCATTTTCTGCCCTTAGCTATAAGGTAAACCAAACACAATAGCTAAAGAAGCGTGCAGATCTTCCTTGATTTCAAAACCAAAGGCGTCTCAGGGTTTTCACGAGAATTTTTCTTTTATGGGATTGTAATGACCTTCACAAGACGTGCACCCTAACAACTAATGTTTTTTGTATTTACAACTGACCTAGTCGCAGAGAGAGTGTTTAACCGAACCCACACTTTTAAGAACCATACGCTTCAAATTACTCGCATGCCCCAACATGAAGGAAGATCTTCCAGACTGGAGGAAAAGAGGAGAGCTTCATTGAATGAGGTGAGTCCAATTTTGTAGAATGTGCATGTTCCCTGCGGTGGAGGGATGAAAGTTGGTGTCCGGGAGTAGACGTGCAGGCTGTAAGCGGTGGACCCACTTTGATTTAAAAATAGGGGAGATCATGGCTTCCTTGATACATAATGAGGTGAGCATGCTCACTTCATTATGTACCAGCTTATTAAATCAGATCATACCCCAAAATACGCTAGCACTGCGTAGTATTAACGAAATGTTTTAAGTTTATTTTCGCGTTTCTTTACATTTTTGTATTCAGGAAACCACAATTAAGGGCTAGTGCTGATTGGTGCACAAGAATGCAATGGATTTCTTCTTGTGTTTTGCTTACGCTGATAAACAGCAACCTAAAATAATATATTAGCTGTTATGAGTGCTATAGCTCATAGGGGTGGAAGTTCCCAGCCCTCTGTCAAGCAGCCATTACTTTTCTCTTTTTAACAGTTTGAAAATCAAGACACTTGTCGAAACAATAGCAGACAGCGAAATAGCAGTACAGAAGAACCTCCTTCCTCTCAGGAGTCAGCCTCTGCAGCATCAGTCCAGAATGGATCTCCAATTCCCGAGCGATGCATAATCGAAGTAACTGGTTTGCCAGATGGTGCATCTGAGGATTTGGTAACAAACTACTTTGAAAACGCCAAACGCTCTAAAGGGGGTCCTGTGTCTTCCGTAGTCATGACACCCAAACTCCGGAAGTGTCTGGTCACCTTTGAATCTCCTGATGGTAAGAGCGAATGATAATAAACTCCCATCATTTCATTTTAATAGTTTGTTCCAAAAAAAGTGTTCGTAAATGCTTAAATTCAACTTTTTTAGATGCAGAGAGGACGATAAATCATTCATCTCACGTTTTGAGCGGAGAAAAACTACAAGTCTCGCTGTTTATAGAGGAGGATGAAAGTGCCGTCGAATTCGATGAAAACAAAGGAGAAGACGAAGACCTGGACAAGGAAGGGGGCATCACCATCATTGTTAGCGGCATCCTGTCTTCTACCTCAGAAGATACAGTGATTTTTTACTTTGAGAATTCTAGACGATCAGGAGGAGGCGATGTCTTCGATGTCCATTACAACGATAAAGGGGAAGCAGTGATAACTTTCTCTGAGGTGAAAGGTACATAATACTTTCCCTTAAGTCTTTAAGGTGACAGAGTTATTGATAAGTTCAGGTCTTTCTTGAGAAAAAGTAGACGAGTTAAAAGCTAATGCATGAGGTATAATTCAGGTAAATCTCACGGTGGTTTTTTGTCAGGAGACGAGAGGTTCTTCATCGTCTCTGACGTTGCAATTACAGCAGTTACCGAAATACTCAACTTGATTTCTCGAACGATTAAATTGCAAGTTTCCTTTGGTTATCAACCTGTCACTTACTATCATTTTATGTATCAGTTGCGATCGAATTTCTTTCGCCTCTGAAATTGGCTAAGTCCTCGACAAGTGGCTTCACAATTAGTCAGTCAGTTTGGTAGCTGCGCCAAGCCTAGTCCACTTGCGTCTAAGCTAGATAGATTACCCCCCACTTTACTTTTGAAGATTACCGTGTTGATAGCATTCCGTTTACTCTGAATTACCTATACTTACCCAGTCTTATCTGACAGCTTTTTTAAAAACTAGCGTAAAAAGGTAAGGTGGATATACTAGTGGTATAACAGTAAGCTCCAATCCTTTCACTTTTGTTGAGCTGCGTGGATGGGAGAGACTGGTGTACTCCTTCTAACGAGAATGTTCAAATTCGCATGCTCACAAATCCACAACACAAGTCAAGAAAGCAAGTAGAAAACGTTCTTAACGTAAAAGTTTCACGTAAATCTTTTGATTACATTAAAATTTTAAATAATAATGTTTATTACAGACCTGCAGCGCCTTCTCGAGAAGCCACACAAAATTGACGACCGAATAATAACAGTGGTGCGACAACCTCCTCCGAAAAAAGTGCCTCTTGATCCACTGAGACTTCATGTTCAAGGAATCAGCAAAACGACCACTAAGGATTGTTTGTCCTTTTATTTGGAAAAGTTTGCGGATGTTGATGTTGAAGAAGTCTATCTTGGTGTTAAGGATAATGCCCTAGCAGTTTTTGAAAGTGAACCGGGTAATTTTAAGACTAAAAGAAATCAATTTATGATTCTTAGAATAGATAACAATTTCATGGCTATCTTGTTTTTTAATTCGATTCAAATGCAAAAAGAAGTATTTTAGTACTATGAGCGTAAAAGAAAAAAAAAAAAAAAGTAATGAGAATGATCAATCAGTTGCGTCTCAAAAATTTAGAGTGCAGTGATGGCTTTAGAGTGTTTTTATGGCTTAGTCAATCATTCGTAAAAATTTTTCCTTAATCTTTGTTGTACCTTAAACAACATCTACCTAGGACAACACATTTATTCAGTCCTTGTTCTGGTTGATATATCTTTGATAGAAGTTACAAGTTACAGTAGAAAACACCGATCTTCATGGTTTGTGTATTACTTGAAAAATCGGTGAGCGTTTTATGTCAAAACTGGCCAAAATCTTTACACTGTTAATTACGCGCGTGGTAATGTCACTCTTCTCCACATATTATCTATTGCAGACTTTGAATCACTCTTGCATAAAGTTAACAATGATAAAAAAGGCTTAGAGGGAAAGAAACCTCGCCTGGAAAGAGTACCAGTCTGTTCATGTATTCTGGTCACGGGATTGAAGAGAGAATCAACCGATCACACCATTGATCTTTATTTTGACAATGAGAAGCGAAGTGGCGGGAAGGATGTCAGCAGAGTGGAAAGGATTAGAAAAGACCAGGCTTTAGTCCACTTCGAGGATCATACAAGTAAGAAATATCTATTGATGTATCAAAAAATTTCTTCCTCTTCTTCTTCTTCTTCTTCTCCTTCTCCTTCTCCTTCTCCTTCTCCTTCTCCTTCTCCTTCTCCTTCTCCTTCTCCTTCTCCTTCTCCTTCTCCTTCTCCTTCTCCTTCTCCTTCTCCTTCTCCTTCTCCTTCTTCTTCTTCTTCTTCTTCTCCTTCTTCTTCTTCTTCTTCTTCTTCTCCTTCTCCTTCTCCTTCTCCTTCTCCTTCTCCTTCTCCTTCTCCTTCTCCTTCTCCTTCTCCTTCTCCTTCTCCTTCTCCTTCTCCTTCTCCTTCTCCTTCTCCTTCTCCTTCTCCTTCTCCTTCTCCTTCTCCTTCTCCTTCTCCTTCTCCTTCTCCTTCTCCTTCTCCTTCTCCTTCTCCTTCTCCTTCTCCTTCTCCTTCTCCTTCTCCTTCTCCTTCTCCTTCTCCTTCTCCTTCTCCTTCTCCTTCTCCTTCTCCTTCTCCTTCTCCTTCTCCTTCTCCTTCTCCTTCTCCTTCTCCTTCTCCTTCTCCTTCTCCTTCTCCTTCTCCTTCTTCTTCTTCTTCTTCTTCTTCTCCTTCTCCTTCTTCTCCTTCTTCTTCTTCTTCTTCTTCTTCTTCTTCTTCTTCTTCTTCTTCTTCTTCTTCTTCTTCTTCTTCTTCTAGGCCGCCGTTGCCAGGATGACAGAGGAAGAAGAGAGGAGGGGAGCAGGGATGAATGGGATAAAAGAAACCCTCAATTTTGTATAGTCCCCACTCTTAACTCTATCAGCAACGTCTGAATCCCCCCTTCCTGTTAGTTGCCCTTGAAAATTATGTTGTTTCCCCTAAAGACTTCAACCCCCCCTCCACTCCCCTGATGATAAATGATGAGTGATCCCTTTGGTTATCTTTTGTTTCTAGGGAAACGAAGGATAACCTAAGAACGCCATCTCCTCGCTCTGTTATTTATAAGACATAATAGCGAAGCAAAGTGGAAAATTGGCATGGGATTTAGTTTTGTTCAATTCTTCAGTTACAAACAGTACAGTTGTGCTTGTCAGGTATCTTGAAGACATCTGTGAGGCAACAATCTCATGAACATTTATTTGGAAAGTGTTTCGCTTTTTTAGTAACGAGCTAACTAGTGAGGTTTAAAAGCAAGTAAAAGTGTTTTGAGTAGAAGTCTCAAAAAGAATTCATAGTTAGTATATTGAATTGGATGCTGTATAATATGGGCTTTAAGTGTTTACTTGACTGTTACGTAGCTGTATGTGTGTTGTTTATTAACGATACCGAAGGAATACTGAAGGGTTTCTTTCATTCAGGTGTTCAAGATGTCATTGCAAGAGGCCAGAGAGAGGCACACAAAATTGATGGAGTCGAGTTAGAAGTGATGCCCTATTACCCTTTCCTCGAGAACGCAGCATCCAAGAGAATGGAGGTGACGTTTGATCCAGATATTTATAAATATATTAAGGTTCATCACAAGAGTGAGCTGCAAACGTTACTCGAGAAGTACAGTGTAGAGGCTGAACTCTCAGATGGCTCGATCCTTATCATTTCTCCTGCGGATTCCAAATGCGACACTACATGGGAAGAAGGGGCAGAGAGTTTTAAGAGTTTCCTGTTCAATTTCAAGAAGTCTGAGATATCCGTTCCTTCCGAAATATTTGATGAGGTCTCAAAACGCTGGCAGCTTCAATGTTCCTCGCAGGGAACAGCCAATTTTCTGCTCTCATTTGATAACCATAGAAGACTAGCCGTAACTCTAGGCAAGAAGACTGTCGTGGAGCAGGAAGAGGAAAAACTGAAGGAATTGATGACAGAAGTAAAGCAAGATTCAGAGCTGATGAAATCTGTGGTTGAGGTCGTGGAAACTAATTATTCTAGGTCCAGACTTACTTTACTCGAGATGTCAGGCCTGTGTAACAAGCTTGCCGATGAATACCGACACTTAAGTATTAATGTTGACAGTGTTGGAGAAAAGCTGTGTTTCAAGGGTCCAAGAAAAAACATTCAAGAAGTCAAACTTGAAGTGGTCACATTTATCTCAAAAGTAATTGAACGAACGACTGAACAACCAACCGGCATCATAGATGTTTTGAGGCAACAACACGTTTCAACATTCTTACAAGAACTGTTTGAAAAGAAATCTATTCAGGCTGTGATACTTCTTGACCAAGGGAGAAATTCAAACGAAGTCCAAGTGGTCGGCGTTGATGCAAAGAACGCGAAAGAAGCAGAAGCTATTTTACAAGATTCCCTCAAAGAAAAGAGTATCCATCTAGAACCTGAAAATACCCAAGTCATCAATAGTCATGAATGGAAAGACTTCCAGTTGTCGATGACATCGAATTTTAAAGTTGGAATAGCAGTTGACGCCTCTGTAAGCAATGTGTGGATCAGTGGTATCACAGACGATGTTGACAACTGTTCAGATCAAGTACAGAAGTTTCTGGAAAAGAACACCATATTACACAACGTTGTCCAAGTTGAAGAGGGAACAGCAAGATTTATAGCAACGTTGTGGGAAAAGAAGCTTGAAGCCATCAAAGGAGAACTTTCTAACTGCTACGTTGACATGAGAGTGACATCTGACTACACAGGGATAGAGGTTTCCGGCACCGCCGAAGGAATAGCAAAGTGTGTTCCTCAAATTCATAATCTCGTCGACACTGTTCAGAAAGAGTGCATTGCAATTGACAAACCGGGAATGAAGAAATTTTTTGAAGATGGCAAAGGACAAGCCATCCTAAAATCTGTTGGGGATTTCAACAAATGTGTTATTTTGACTACTGAAAACAACGAAGTCGAAAGCGTGCCTGATTTCTCAAGAGAAGATGAACACTTTCAGTCAGCTGCAGAATTTGTTTGCGGCTGTTCAACAAAACATGGAAAGAAAATTTCGATAATGAAAGGTGATATTACAAAGGATCGTGTGGACGCCATAGTGAATGCAGCTAACGACAGATTACATCACATAGGGGGTGTCGCTGGAGCAATCGTGACAGAAGGCGGCAGAGATATTCAAGAAGAATGTGACACTTTCGTTAGACGGAATGGTCCTCTGCTTGAGGGCCATGTATTTGTTTCTGGTGCCGGAAAATTGCCCTGTAGTCAAGTTATCCATGCTGTCGGGCCTAAGTGGAGTCCTGAGGCAGACAAGAAGAGACAGAGGGAAGAAGTAACGCAAGAGGAGCGGTATCTCAAACAAGCTATTATGAATGTTCTTGCAAAAGCAAAACATCTTACGTCACTGGCCATTCCAGGTGTTAGTTGTGGTATTTACAACTTCCCTCGCGATCTCTGTGCTAAGATTATATTAGACACTATACTCGAGTTCTGTGAAAGAAATTCAAACTGCCATCTGTCAGAAATTCATCTCATCGACAAAGATGACAAGACTGTTCAGGCTTTCGAGGGAGAATTTAAGGAAAGATTTGCTGACGAACAGACGTTTCGCGCCCGTAAAGTTGGAAAGTCTGTCTTTAGCTCTGCACCTAATTACTCTGATTATGGTCGTGCTGCTCAAATGAAGAAGGCGCGTGCTCCACGATCATTTGTGACCCAAGGAATTCGCGTAACAGTAGAGAGCGGCGATCTTGCTGACCAACGGGTAAGCAGTTGCAGAATAATAAATCATTTAAATCTGTTAAGGTCTTTCTTATGTCATAAAACAATATTGTGCCAACCAATTACAGCATACTCGCCTCATCTGTCTAAAGAGAGGGTAATCCAGCATTACATCAAAGGAAGTATTTTATCCCTGGCTATACTTCCTCGACAAAGGCACACGTCTGTAATGACGATTGTAAAAATTGATGGCTAAGGTACTTTTCCTTTGATTGTTTAGGCCGATATTTTAGTTGGAACAGCGGCATCAAATCTCAATTTGTCACAGAATCCTTGTGCCAGGGCACTCAGTCAAAGAGCGGGACCAGCATTGCAAAAACAATGTAACAAAGTAGGGCAGGTCGCTGTTGGTGATATTGCCGTTGTCGATCAACCAGGAAACCTCAAATGCCAAGCAGTTGTCTTTGCTGTATGCTCCGATTGGCAAGATGGAAAAGGAAAAAAGGTATTTGAATTTTATTTCTGCTACCGTTAATTAATGAGAAAAACTTTACTAATGGATGAAAAGAAGGATCGGAGCGGCTAAATAATTGTTAACTGACTGACTGATCGACTTACTAACCGATGGGCTCTAAAAGAAAGCGAGCTTTTGGTCATGACTGACAGAGTACCTCCACGAGAAATCAAAATAATAGCCTTCTGCATCTAATGCATTTCGTTCAATAACATTACGGTATCTGAGCCATTTTCTCACAAGAAATCTCTTTTAGTGAAATACAACGCGAGCTGCATAAATAGCATTCGTCTGTTTGAATCATGACATTAAAATATCTTGCGAGATTTCCGAGACTTAACTCGGTATTATTGCGCTAACTGCTCTCAGTTATAACATGAAGTCATCGTGATCACTGATGTATGAGTAACTAATACCTGGCAACCTCTGCATTTTCAGGTTCTGAAGAGGTTAATCAGGAAATGCCTTGAAGAGGCGACAGGAGCTGGAGTGGCATCCATTGCATTTCCTGCCATCGGAACAGGAATACTTGCATTTCCCCGCGCTGAGGTCGCAGAAATCTACTTTGATGAGGTAACATCTCACAGTAAAAAAAACCCGTCAACTACACTTAAAGAAGTCAGGTTTGTTCTCTATGACAAAGACTACCCAACTATCCAAGCCTTCGAAGAGGAGATAAAAAGAAGAGATATGGAAAACACTCCTATTCCGGTCAGGAGAGCCGCGCACCCAATTAAAATTCAATCCACGAATAACCCCTCTTCGGCTGTTTATGCATCTTCTTCTCCCAACGTGACATTTTCGCCAGTACGAGAACGAAAGCCAGATCACTTGGAAAGTAATGTTGGAGCACTGTGCTTCCTTGCCCAACCAGGTGACATTACTAACGAGAGTACGGATGCCATCGCCATCATATCTAACCCGGAGCTGGATGTGAAGAGGGGAGGTGGAGCAGGGGCAGCAATTCTTAAGAAAGGAGGTCACTCCATTCAAAGAGAGTGTCAGTCATTTGGTCCACAATCACCAGGAGCAGTTGTAGTTACAAAAGCGGGTAACTTAAATGCAAGGTTTGTCTTCCACATAGTCCTTCCACAACCTCTAAACAACAAAAGCATCAAAGTATCAGTAATGAAGTGTCTTCAAGAGGTTGAGAAAAGGGGTCTTTCATCGATCTCATTCCCTGTCATAGGAACAGGCAATCTTGGTTTTACAGCAAAGTCCTGCGCGGAGACAATGTTATCAGCAGTTTGCGACTTTAACAATCATCAGCCTGCTTCTTTAAAGCTCGTCAAGATGATCATTTTCCAAAAAGAAATGATTAAAGACGTCCGCCAGGCAATGGAAGAAGCATCCGGACAAGCACCAGCCAACAAACCTGGAATTTTTCAACGAGTTGTCTCCAGATTCAGTGATTTATTTGGCTTCGGGGAAAAGGACATTGAGCTTCCAAAGAGCCAAGATTCCAACAAAATTCTCCACCTTGCAGTTTTTGCTGGTTGTAAAGAGGACATTCAAGGAGCAACTCGCCGCATAAACGAAATTATGAAAGAGAACTCAACGACGCAAATTATTAAGCAAGAAGCCGTCACTATATTCTCTAGAGATAATCTCCGCAAGATTCACACCCTTGAGCAAATACATGATGTTTCAGTGTCAGTCGAGAAACTTGCAGGGCGCATCGTAATTCGTGGGCAGACTTCAGACATCCTCAACGTTTCAGGTGAGATCCATACGATTTTGCACAAATTGAAAGAGGAAGAACACGAACGCAAGCGAGCTGAAGAGTTGTCAAAGGATATCAGATGGAAGTACCATGATGGCAATAACTTTGTGGAATATGGAAGCCTCGTAAATGCAAAGATCGAAGCTGCTCATAATCAGAGGAAAACTGGAGTGACCATAACCTCTGAGGAGGAAGACGATTTCCGAGTTGATTTCAGCTCAATGACGATGACCGATCCGCGTGGCGTTGCCACTCCAGTCGAGAGAATTGATCTGCGAAAAGGTAGGACTAATAAAGTTTGGTTCTAAATTGGACGAGTTAGGGAGCGTCCGTACATCAAAGCTCATCCATGAACCCGATTCTAACTCAAGAATGCTTCATTCGATATAATCTACTCTCGTGTTATACTGGTATTGATTTGTATTTACATTGTACGAGAAAGTCGTCATTCACTTTCACATCAATGATACAGATTAACAATATGGGACATGATCGATGGCATGACTATGTCATTGGTAGACTTTCTTGCCAGTTTGAATTCAGACCTGCGGTTGTTTTATAGAGTTTGTAATTCACCTTGCAACTCTATCTAATAACATGTAAAACAATATTTAGTAATTGTTCAAGTAATTTTCTGCTTAAATTGAGAAAGCCATAAAAAGTCAACTCCCTACAAAGGAGAGAAACACAAATTGGAACTCCGAGAAAAGGGCTAACCCGAATTAGGCATTTCTTCCCTTCCTCTCTGAAGATAACGCTAGTACCGAATTTGTATTAAACTCTGCCAGTAGCATTTGAGTTAACCTAACTCTTAACATAACCATTTTCCTTCCACAAGGGGTCCTGCAACTTCCTACTTACTGGATTCCACAACCAAAGGACTCACAGGGCTTAGAAATGACTGTACATCTTGTTGAGCTGGATCCTGTGAAAGACTCACAGCAGTACGCTCATGTTCAGAACCAATTCCAGCAAACCTGTTCCAACCAAATTTTAAAGATAGAACGAGTACAAAATCCACATCTCTTTGGCTCGTACATGATCCGAAAACAGAAGATGGACGAGACGAAGGGAAGCAACGAGCGGTGGTTATTTCACGGAACTCCGGGTGATAACTGCAAATTAATAAATCACAAAGGTTTCAACAGAAGCTTTCATGGTAAAAATGGTGAGTAAGCTATCTTCGATTTTAAAGACATTAAGGAAAGTAAGAGTTTGAACAAAAAGCACAAGTATCAGCCCTAAATCGCAAAATAGAACTCGATCTCGCAAATGTCTTTATGCTACATGGTAATGTGCAACAATGTGTCACTATATCATTATGCTCTTATCAAAAAACCTCGTTTTTACAATCTCGCTTTATTCACTATAGTTCCCATGCGCACAGTTAAACATCAAAACTTATTCAATTACTTATTTTGTTTTGTTTGTTTGTTTGTTTTTTTTCATATTTGATTTACTTATTCTCAGAATTTATCAAAAGACTTCTCGACCTTAATTGGCCACTGTTACCATTTAGCTCCAGCAGCACGAGAGCTCGATAACTCGGTGGTCAATTAGGCTTACACGTACTGAACCAAAACTGCTGGGTTACGAAACCCTGTAGCAAGCGAATTTAAAACTCTCCTTGACCTTTCAGCAACCGTCTACGGAAATGGCGTGTATTTTGCTGAGGACGCCTCATACTCAGCTCGGTCAACCTACTCACCAGCCGACATGAGTGGTCAGCGGTACATGTATTATAGTAGAGTCCTGGTTGGTGAGTATGCACAAGGAAAACAAGGTCTCCTCACGCCTCCAGCAAAGAATCCAAATGATCCAACCGACACTTATGACAGCGTGGTGGATCAAATCCCCAACCCGAAAATCTTTGTTGTGTTCTATGACTCGCAATGCTATCCAGAGTATTTGATTACCTTTTGCTGACTCGCACACGGTTTTCGGCGCTGTTTAGTGTAACACAACTTGTGCTTCTTTGTTTAACTGGGAAAAAGACGTTTCGGTGGATAGATGTCGTTAGTTTCTCCGTTTTATAGTTTGTTTTGTTTTATTTGTGTCTGTTTCTCCCTTTTTTTATTTGTTGTTGTTGTTGTTTTTGATATATTATTACTGATTTTCGTTGTAATAGTGAGCCGACTCAATGAAGAATCTTTTTGTGTATCAGCAAATTACGATATCATAAATCGCGCATGGATAACAAAATTATTTGTGTCTGTTTTTTCTATGTTTTTTTCGTTCTGTTTTTTTTATTTGTTTGTTTGTTTGTTTTCTTGTTATCAGTTGTTATAGTGAGCTGCCTCAATTTAGATTTGAATTTTTGTGCATCATAGATCGCGCACGGATAAAGAAATCGTGCAGCGACACTTATTTAGCTCTCTGTAGTAGGACTATTAATGCGAAACAGCTATATTTGTTTCGCACTTTCCTCAACACCCGGCAAAATTATTTAGATGCATGGTAAATCACGGAGGAATGATCATCTTGTGAATCATGGCTACTACCAAACATAAGCTAACTGAATTAAGCTTGAACATCCTGTCAATATGAGTTTGTAGGGCTCCATGTGGAAACATCTAAATCGTTCCTCCTGAGGTAGCTCTATTCACTGCAGGTGTCGTTCGGCAACGTTATAATTAAGGAGGGGAGAATGGGGTGAGGGAGGGCTTTTGTTAATCTAGGCCAAGCTCGCAGTCGAAAAAGATTATTTAAAAAAGAATGAGCAAAAAACCGCCAGGTATTTGGCAATGAAAAAAAAAAGAGTTGCGAAAGACTGTGAGAATTGCGTTTTTAACACCTCATTTGCCCTCTTCGCTTCTTTTTGCGAAGTTTGATTTCATTTTCAAATTGGTAACTAAGCAGAACATTTTCGCCGAGGTATAACATGGCAGTATATTTTAGCATAGTTTAGCAATATTCGCCGCGTTTGCCCTATTTTCCGGTTAACTCCATTCTTTGAAGGAAACAAGGAAAAAAAAAAGAAAAAGAAAGCGAGTTAACAAATATAGAAAAAAAAGTGTGGAGTAAAATATGCATTTTTCTATTTTTTACCGTCTTATTGTGGTGGAATTCTTAATTGCTTTCGATTTTAGCCATATCAGCTCATCAAGAGAATATAATCTCATGTAACCTGCGATTAGGGCCTTTTTTCCTGCTGTTTTTTATGTTAGTAGGTTTGCTAGCTTGTTTGGTTATTCGTTCGCTTGATTTTGTTCTTTTTTTCCCATGCGGAAAGCATCAGCGAGGTTTAAGAAATGGGAACAGTGGGTGGGTTCGATACAGATGACATCTTGAATCGCTTTTTATAATGTTCATGTACACATTACTGCAACAACTGAAATAATGTCACTAATAAGTGAATGAGTTTGAAAACAAGAAGATGCGGTCCCAAGGCACACATTCACGAAGAAAATGTGATGGCACCCAGCTGTTTCATTCTCTAAGGGTTGAATTATACGAAATCCCTTGAATATACACTTTTAAGCTTCCAAGTGAGGCCTTAACGATTGTATTTGGTTGATTCTTGGAATAAGGTTTCGCTGATCCACGTCTTGCAACGTTCTAAATCAGCTTTAAAAATGCTTTAAAATGCATCATTAATTCCCCATTGAATCTTGTCGTTTGCTATTAACGTTCTTGTAGTAAGGTGTACATGAACACCCAAACATTTAGTTTAAATATAATGACGGGAAGGAATACGACTGTACAGCTGAAGATAATGTACCATGGCTACATGTGTAACGAATTGGTTTAACATGTAACCTTATGAAGCTGTCTCTTGGATAAGCTGCACAGCTTGTCCATTGTTACACTCCAGTCTCTCGTCAAATAATAAAATTATCACTTGGAATGAAGGAACTTATCGTTGTTTTTCAGTCTCTCGTCGGCAGTGACGTAAAATCCCATGTTTTTTGTTTTATTTTAAACCGTGGTAAGCGCAGGTCAAACAATTCACACGCCAGGAAAACTAATCTTCTTCAGTAGTGAAAATAACCAACTAGGACATAAATATCAAAAAAACTTGATGAACGAAAAATATATTCTAACAATATGAAATTAACGCAAACTTCGTATCTATCGTCAAACAATTGTCGTCGAAAAAACTATATTTGCACTCTTCAAATGTAACATTACTTTCAAAGAATTGCAATAACAACAATCCCTAAGGGGACCAGTCATTTTTTATTGCGGGGGAAGGGGGATTGGAGCATTTTGGTTGTGTCACCATAAAATTTACTTGATCTCCCCCATGAGGCTCTTTGACATTCTTTTAACCCCCCCCCCTCCCCCTCAATAGCATTTAATTAGCAGCCTCCTTTCTCAAGTCAACCTTTTATACTCTGTCGGCCACGATTGATCCCCCACTGCTCTCCCTGAGAACCATATGACTCCCCCAATATCCCCCGCCCTCCCTCCCCTAACAAGATAGGCTGTCCATGTAAAATGACCCAACAAGGAAGTAGAAGAACACAAACTGAAATTTAACAGGCCAAATTTGTACAGTATGACTTTGCAAATTTCCAAGAATTGTTATGTGCAGTTGGCAAGCCAGGCCTTCGTTCCGAAAAAAAATGAAAGAGTTATAGTGTCCTGGCTTCAATTTGTCTTCATATAAGCGGCCGACTGCTGCAACTGAAGATCACCGGATCCCTTTCGCGGCGAGGTCTTCCTTAACACGTTGGAGATAATGTGGATCGGGATAACCAAATCTAGGGAAAAAAAAAAACACAGGTCAATGATTTCTTTTGTCACTTCTTCAAAGGACTGAACTCTTATTAATGACAACGGTCAACAATAATCGTGCGCGAAACCTTTCGGTGAAAGAACACCGCACCTTGCAAGACACGTTACAAATTTCAACTTACTTACCCATGGGCACCCCCTGTTGTACTTGTCTTATGATGTATATCATTCCATGTGATCTGATTGGATAGTCCTGTTGTTATGGAGGTACCCACAGTAAACACCAACCGTGCGTTAAAAGCTCTGTGTAGCAGCTGCAAGACTTCTTTACCCTCGCGATTATCAGGCAAATACGCAGTACGATGCGTACCATTGTACCGCTGACCAGGGTTTGGGTGCTCTGGGCCTTGAACTCCTGATTGAAAAGAATACTGAATGCAGATGGTACCACACCCTTATGAAAGAAAAAAAAAAGACCAACTTCGAATCGAAATTCTATTTATCATAGAAATACTTATAACCTATTTGAAAAAAGTAAATATAATTCTATTCACACTGTTGTTGATTTTTGTCAAAAAGGGTTCTTAATGCCATTTCAATTTCAATTGAAGGGGTAAGATTCTTAAGAAATTGTGGAGCTGCATTGGTGGGAGGGTATGAGAGGGTAATTTAGTATTATAAACTCAGTTGATAACGTAAATAAACCACCGTAAAGAGTTTCAAAGCTGACATTTTGAGTGTTAGCCACTCATATTCACATCCCCTTAAGTTTAAGAATAATCAACTAGAGTAACTACAAAAATTGTTATTTTCTGAGGATTCTGCATCTTAGAGACAAAATCATACTAGGACATAAACAGACCACCTTCAGACAACACTTATTTAATCAAAGTTTGGAACTTCTGCTTCCACCTAAAAAGAAAATTTCTCTACATTTTTATTTCACTTTATTATGTTATTAAATTTCATGTTGATCAAGTCTAAAACTTTCTTCAAATGATAAGATGGCTCATCTTTGATGATTCTTTTATAAAACATTGACATGTCAAGCCTTTGAATTAAAAAAGAAAATTAAGTTCTTTTTTTTTCAATTATAACAGAGCGAGTTTGTTGGAATTTAAGGGTTGTATAATGCATACCAGAGTAACCTGGGAGACTGGAATGCAGAGTAGACCAAGTCATTTGCCCTGGTGGTTGATTCCCTGTCACCACACCTTGTGGCTCCTTACAAATGGGGCAAACATTTAATATCCTCAAAGCTTGACTTAAGCAATCTTGGCAAAAAACATGACCACACTTGATAGTTTGGGGTTTAACCATACTGTCAAGACATATAGGACATCTGTGATGCATGTTTGTCCACCCTTAAGAAAAGAATGAAAAATGAAAAATTAATTCAAAAGAGCAAAGAAATAATTATGTGTTTACATAATTTTAATTTGTAGTTGATTTTGCTCCATACAGTTGTAACAGCATTTAATGAGTGGCAGGAAAAATTCGGAAAAGAAGGGAGTGAAAACAGGAGGCCAAGAAGGTGGGCACAACTCCATACATTTACAGTTGCACTGCTCCTTCTCTCCCCTCTCTCTCATTTCCCCAATTAACCCTCCTAGTTTATACCTGCTACATAAAGACTGTTCAATAGAAATACTGCAAGGGAATCAGGTACAAGTCAGTACTAGTAATAAAGGAAAAAAAAAACAATAAGGCCTAAAAGTAGCTTCTACAAAACTGCTTTCATGCTTGAGCAATTCTAATATAGCCAACAGCCAATGGCCTCCTGAATAAAATATGTGTTCTGATTGGAGAACATCATGTCATGTGCTATGGGTCAAAACCATAAATTTGCAACTGTGAAAAATCTCACAAACCCTCTGGTGAAACAAAAACTAAACTTTTGACTCACACATAATGAGGTTGTGCAGTAGTTGAAACCTTCCCAGATTTGTGTGCCAGCTCATTTAAAAAAACTATTTACACAGACAATTTCAGGAATACTGAATACCATAAACCTCCATGTATAAGCTGCATCCATAGATAAGCCGCACCCCCAATTTGGAAGTGCAGAATTTGGAAAAAAATAAAAACAATACAGTTTGAAGTTTCAGTAGAGTTGTATTACTACAAACAATCAAGGTTTTGAAACACTGACATAGAAGTTGTCGCTTGAAAGAACTCTTGGAGAGTAAGATTTGCCGATAAACACTCAAAGACACAAACAGCTCCTAAAGGAGCCACTCAGTGAAAAAGTCAATGAACTACAGCAACACACTCTCAGTTTCTTTTATATTTATTTCTTGGCATCTTTAGAAGTTTTTTGAATATTAACTAGGTTTTTTGAGAACTCCAAACACAGATGTATCCATGGATAAACTGCACCCTTGATTTTTGGCTTCAATTTTGTGAAAAAAAAGTGCTGCTTATACATGGACATTTATGGTACATATCATCTGTCTCATTTTTGAGTTGGGAGGTATAGCAAAACACTTAATGACTATAGCCCCAGTTTTTTCTTCTCTTCAAAACTGAACATTACCATCAACTTTGCCTACTTGAGGAACATTGAGGTTTTTTCAAGAGACAAACCTACAGCTTCCTTAGGGTCAGTCATTTTAAAAGAGCCCATATCAAAAGATGGGAAGTACTGCAAATTCAAATATTGACATAATTATAAAAGGTGAAAGTCAAATATCATCAGCAGTTTCATTCAAGCCTCAGTGAGGCATCAGTGAAGCAACATTGAACTTAAGAATATATTGGCTAAAAACACCTCTTGATTAAGAGAACAACTGACTGCTAGTCAAATATAATTGCACTACAATGAACCCAAAGCATCCAGCTATGGTCCACTATTTAAACAAATATCAATTAATAAACATGTAAATTCTGCCCATCAGCCAATATGTTAATCAAGGCTACCTACAACCAGCACATGGGATCCAAAAAAAAAATTTTCTTGAGAACATAAAAAAAATTCCAACACACCCATGGATGAACTTTTCCTTCCTACACCTCACATTTGATGAAATATTTGGCATATATTTGCCAAAGAAAAATGTATCTAGCAGACCAGGAGGGAACTTGGTTGTTCTTTAAGTGCTAGCACTAATTCAAAATTAAAAAGTAACCCTCAACTGAACTGAACTCTACCACCTACTCTCTAACTGTTATTGGCTTATGTAAGACAGAAGTAAGTACATGAAACTGGCTTAAATTAACAGTTAAACTATTTGCAAATAAATACAGCAAAATGAAGAATTTACTCTAACATTGGATCATTGTGATCCTCTCAGGTTTAATGTGGTAGTGGAAGTAGGGTGGGGTGGGATATAATGAAAGGCAATGGTAACAACTTTGTTTCCACAATTTGCAGTCCTGACAAGAGAGTTCAGCTTGCCCTTTGGTGGAAAATCATGACAGAAAAAAGATACCAACTGAAGGATAAGAACCATGAAAGTAAACACTAAAAGAACAGTCAAAAAGTGGGTCAACCATAATGTCAAAATACATGTACAGCTCACCCTAGTGGACAGAATAATCAACAATTATTCACCTAACAAGAGGTGAATAGTGATGGATATTTACCAAGGTGCAAAGCAGTGGGATGAATATCTTCCACTTTTGATGGCACTGAGGTAAATACTTGTTTTAGTATATGCCACACAGACACAAAAAAACTAGTTTTAATCATTTCTTTCAATATACCAAAAAAAGGGTTGGAAACGAAACTCTTGGCAACCAATTTTTTCTCTTAATCGACTGCTCCAAGGTTAATAGTGTTTGCCATTCACTTTCACATTAGCCAATCATTGCAAGCAAAAAGCACTATTTGCCTGTGATGATTACAAATCAATAATATTTTAATAACTATTTCAAACACCTTGTTGTTGTCCAACTAACAGTGGAAGAAAATTTTATACGAAAAGAGATCTTCAGCTTGCAGATGTCTATGTTCCAAAGGAATTTTCGATTTACCTCTCAGGCTCTGGCTTGTGCTTAGATTTAATTAGCTAATAAATTCATTGATATTGTTTCTGCTTCCTGTTCGAGTGAAAAGCGAAAGCATTAATGCCACAACAAAAAATTTAAAGTCAGACCAACAACTAACCCTGATAAGGTGCATAACAACACTAAACAGGGGTAGATTTTGAGAAATTCTTTACCATCAGTAGCAAACAGTGTCTACACTCTGCCAGATTCCTGTAAGTAAGTTCTGCTACACGGCATTCCTGCATTCTTAGTTCGAAATATCTCCTGTATCGTGAAAACATATTCAACAAGGACCCTTTCTGATTTAAGACAGCTGTATTCAGCTGAATATCATTTCATGGTTCTATCGTGCTTACCTTGACGTGTGTCCATCTCTGTGCAGAATAATTATGAATGTACTGGAAATTGGAGGTAGTTCTAGAAGTGAGTCAGATTTCTCGGAAACAGCGCGAACCCACGCGTTCTGGTTGTATTGAGCTGAACTGACGCCACTTCCGTTGTGGCGAATAGTAACAGACGGCAGAGGATTGTAGAAAGCCAACCCGCACTACAGATGTTTCTTTGATTCCTAAGCTTCCATCCTAACATTACAAGATAGAATGTCGAAGGGGCCGCCTCATGTGAGAACAAGTTGCTATAAATAAAAGAACTCGAAACCGAAAGGTACTTGGTACGAGTAAACGTGGCGACACGAACAACTTCCGCTTTTTCTGAGAAAAAGTCTTAAATCACGATAGCCGAGGCTTATAAATGACTCGAACGAATTTATGGCTGGCTGTGAGAGCCTTTTAGATGCAATCAAGAAAGAATTGGAATGCTCCCTCTGTCAAGACCAGTTTACTGAGACCAATCAACCAAAACTTCTTACATGCCAACATACTTTCTGTGAGTCTTGTCTCCAAAAGTGGTTGCGACAGCAGATCGGGAGAGGTTTGAGCTGCCCGAACTGTCGAGTAATAACCGAGTGTCCCAACAATAAAATCGACCGCTTGCCATCCAACCTTGCACATAAGAGACTGGGGGATATCTTGAAAGCTCATGGTCGTTCGAATAAAGATCCTGATCTCGAATCAAAAGAACAAAACGTTTGTAAACGACATGACATACTCGTTAAGTTTTACTGTGAACCGTGCGAAATTTGCATTTGCTCTGAATGCGCCATTATGAAGCATCGAGATCCGATAAATCACACCATCATGTCACTTGAAGATGGAGCAAGAAAACAAAGAGTGTACATCGAAAGTAGGCTGAGAGATATTGAGGAGGATTCTTCGCTTCTGAAGAACCATATTGAGTCTTTAAGAGAGAGACAAGCGAAATACAATGGTAGCATCGATAAAGTAGCGGCAGAAGTTCGCACTGTGATGGAGGATGCTATAAATGCTCTTCGTCAACACGAAGAAATGATGACAGAGCAGTTGGTGAAAGAAAAATCGCTTTACGACGAGGCCTTGAAAAACGAGTTGTCGAAGCTCGTCAAAAAATTACAGCTATTGTATAAGAGCTCAAGACATGGTAAAGAAGTCCTCCAAACAAATGACGTAAGGAAAATGTTAGAGGTAAAACATGAACTTGATGGAACGGTTGCGGAGAGATTTCAAAATTCTACGCCACTTCTCAGATATCCGGAGTTTAAGTATTCAGTAAATACCCTTCTCCAAGATTTCCGTCTTGGTATGCTACATGTAACCTTTACAGAACCTTATTTTTCTGTTGGATCAGGACAAGGACTAGCAGAAAGTATTCAAGGAGAGGCAAGCTACTTTACTGTCACAACTATGGATTCAAGCGGCAAAACAACCTATAGCGAAATTGATAACGTCACGGTTGAGATCACATCCATACGACAGGGAATCAGAGATATTCCTGCTTTTGTGAAAGACTTAAAAGATGGCCGTTATTGTGTATCTTACACTCCAAGAGTTGCTGGAATCTTCAAGATATCCATCAAAGTAAGAGACGATCCAATCAACGGAAGTCCCTTCAAATTGGTTGTAGCCCCAAAACCAAAACAAGCTGTATGCAAATTTCACGGTAAGAAAGTAAATTTAGGTGGTCCAATAAATTTAAGAGAATTGTCACATGTACATGCTTACGATATTTTTAATTTGATGTGGAAACACTCTTCAGAGTTTGAACCGGAACTAGCAAGTGGAAGAAAAATTGTTAGCGTTTAACGCGCGTGACCTCGTTTAGGAATCGTTTAAAATGCATGAATTATGTTCTCAAATTTTTTTTCTTTGACCTGCAGTAAATATTTCATCCTTGGAGATGAGCAGCAATAAAATAAATTGTAGGGAAGAAGGCATAGACGCGATTCTCGTCACGCAACACCCTCTCTTCTCCACAAACGCGCTGCGTGACGAGACGAAAAGGGACTAGCTTACTATGGAACTTGTATTTTAAGCGGCACTGTATTGAGTGGTCACCCTGTATTAAGTGGTTGGATGTCAAAGTCCGGAATTTTTCCCTTAATCACCGTAATTTTTACTTCAAATAAGCGGCCACCCCATCAAGCGGTGGCAGTCACCCTTTATTAAGTTTTAAGGCTTGTTTTTACTGTCTTTAGCTGTACTGAACAGTCACTGAAAGCAGAAATACTCAAACAAAACTAAGGACAATCTTTCAAGAAATTTTTAATCCATGTCTCTCTCCCAAAATCAAAGTAAGTGGTATTTCTGAGCAAGATTCTGTACATTAACTGGTCAAATATAGCATGAAGTAGCATTTATCTTTTTTTATATTTCTGTGGAACCTGTATTAGGCAATCATGCCATTCCCCGTGGGTGACTGCTTCACACAGGATCAACTGTATTGCCAGGGTCACTGCCTAGACAATAAACAAAAGTTTTTATGTCTATGAAACATACTATTTTATAATTCCTTTTTAGATGTTATTTTACCAAGGAAGTGGATTCCACAACCAAAAAACCGAGAGGGTGAAGAACTTAACTTTCATCTGGTAGAGCTGGATCCTGTTAGAAATGCACAGGAATACCAAGAAGTTCAGAATCAATTTCGAAAAACATGCAAAAGCAAAATTATGATCTTGAAAATAGCCCGCGTCCAGAATCCAGCCCTTTACAGGACATTTACCATACGAAAGCAAAAAATGGATGAGGAAAGAGGAAGCAATGAACAGCGACTTTTCCTTGGAATCCCAAGAAGCAAATGCCAACAAATAAATGAGACTGGTTTTTGCCATTTCCAAAACAAAAAAGGTACAAAGAACCATTTTTTTACTATGTTAATTTGCATGTCATGCATGTGTGTTCACATATAGAAACAAGTCAATTCTCAGCATTTTATATAACAATTGAAAACTGCGGTTTGAGTTAAAAAAATGTTTTAGAATACATTTGCTTCTTTCACCAAGAGAAAAAAATGAGTGTTATTGTTGTATGTCAGTGTCAATTTACTCAGTAGCTTGATGAAACAATTTTTACTTATTTTTTAAAAAGGTAATATTCAGGATTGTATTGGTGTCAGTAAATCTTGCCCTATGATTGGTTTAGAAAATTTGTGCCATGCGAATATTCGCAACTTAATCAGTCGCATTTCCACGCCTGGGTTTTTTTTACTCACTTTTTTTACTTCAAGTTCTGATCAGTTCCTTGAGCTATTTCCTTTACTGTGATTGGTTGTTGAGATTGCTAACTCAAACAACGCTCCAGTTTAATATTTACAACTTTTTCAGCACCAACAGACATGTATGGAAATGGCTTGTACTTTGCCAAAGATGCCCTTTACCCAGCTCAGTCCTCTCTCTCTCCACCAGACAATGATGGACAGCAATACATGTACCTCAGCAGAGTCCTGGTTGGTGAATACACGGTTGGTAAACAAGGCATGGTTACTCCTCCACAGAAGAACCAGAGTGATTCCAAAGAATCCTTTGATTGTGTGGTGGATCAGATTACTGACCCGAGCGTTTTTGTTATTTTCTATGAGGGGCAGTTCTACCCTGAATACTTAATCACATTTTCTAGATGATTCTTTTAAATTATAGTGATTTTTATTATTTTAAAACTTGTAAAAATGTTTTGACTGGATTAGTTTGTAGTGGTTTAATATCAGTTTTAAACTCAAACAATCACGCATTAAATTAATTTTACACTGGTCAGTGTACTTTGAGTCAATCGTGTACTTTATCTATGCTACAGTAGTTAAAAAAGAGATGTTAAGAGATCAACATATTTTTAGGATTACGCTGACCGTTTTAGTTTTAGGAGGGATGGAGGCTTGGAGAAGAAATTTCAGCTGTCTTATAGTTTGGTTTTGGCCTCCTTGGAGGCGATTCTCTCATTTTCTTGACTCTATTTATTGACAGGAATATAATAAGTTTGTATCCTCTTGTTATTGACTAATTTAGTTGACTTATGGTTGGTGTAGAGCACGGTTGCTTGCAATTTCTTTCATTTAACTGAAATCAGACCATGGGCATGTCTGCTCTGTTCATCATGACTTTTTTTTTCCTTTTGTGGGTTCAAAAAATTTCGAAACGTGTGACAAAAAAATGTCTCTTAATTTCTTAAGAAACTTGAGAGAAGGTGCCCCAGTGTCCAAAGTGATCTTTAATTATTTTAAGGAAAGGGTAATAGCGTGTAACTTTTAACTTGACTCTAACTCAAGAATGAGTGATTTCTTTTAACTCCTATGTATGACACCTTGAACACTTGCTTGAATCAGTTTTATAAAGCTTATGAGTAATCTTAGAATAGTAGTGTCCGTTCAGTGGAAGACCTACAATTACTCAAAAGTTCAAATGCCTGGGGGGGATGTTGAAGCTTCGACTTGTTCGACGTATAATATCCTCAAACTGTGACATACTTGGGTTGTCAAAGTCTTGCCTTGGGCTTCAATTCTATCAAAATAGCTTCAGGAGTACGCTTGCTGGAAATTCACCCCAGGGAAAACAGTGCTCGTTTAAAAAACCATAAAAACGTTACGGTAAAAAAAGCAACCGGCAGAATGCAAACAGAGCTAAGCCAGGAGTTGAACCTCTGAGCTCTCGAGAACAATTCCAGCATTGGAGAATATTCTCTGTTTTTCATGCAGTAATGAAGTCTCTGATAAAATCAGTTTGAAATTCGAATAGCTTGTTTTGACCTCCTTAACTGCAGACTTCACCAGCTCTGAGTCGTCCTCAAGTTCGAGAATCGAGTGTTGCAGCTTTTTCTCTTCATGTTTTACTGAGACATGAAGAGAAAGAGCTGCAATAGTCATGAAGGAAAAAAGCTTCAATAAATAGCTGCAATCTGTTAGAGCAGTTACCTAGTAGGTAACTTTCCTAACAAAGAAACTGTGTTGCTGCGTCGGTGGGAGGGTATAACAGGGTAATTTGGCATTATCAACTAAGTTCATAACGTAAATTGGCCATCGTAAGCTAATGTTTCGACTCGAAAAGTCAGCATTGAAATTCTTTACGATGGCCAATTTACGTTATCAAGTCAGTTGATAATACTAAATTACCCTATTCTACCACAACGCAAAGTTTTTATACTAGGAACTCCAATTACCCATAGATGGAAATATTTTAAAGAAAAAGGCTTGTCTATTTGTTTTTGATTTCCTAAAAGGCAATGTCTGTACTGAGTCCCTTCAAGATTTAACCCACAATTTTTTTACGAGGAACAATGCCCCATGTGGAGCCAGCGTTGTTCTCTCGAAATTGAAACTTGACTTTGCTCAGAAAAATTGTTTGCAAAGAGAGTTTTTTCAACTCTTTCCATTTAAATAGCAGGAAGATTAAAAATAAGGTAATATTAAGGAAATCCCTTTATGAATTTTATTTTGTATAGCGTAGTTACTGCAGGTTGGTGTTAGCCAAAGTCATTTTTTATCTTTTTTTTTTGGTTTTTATTCTGTTCAAATTTTCATCAATTAAACAGGATCCCTTTGATGATAGGGGCTATCCTGTTTACATATTCGTTATTATTATTGTTCATTCTTCTGATGAAGGGTCGCCTTCCGAGGGTGGAATGGTGACTATCTGGTCATGTGAGAATTCAGCCGCTACTCTATACCCCTCGAGTGGCGTTGGCTATTTTCCCTTGTGATAAGGATTTATGTATTCACGGCGTCAACTTCTAAATCAAACGTCATATCCGTTTTCTTGGATGCGTTATTTTAGAGAAAAGGGTAATAGCGCGTCACTTAGCTCCACCAAGGGTGTGTGCCTGTCTCCGGCTCCTCCAAATGACATCTTAAACTCCTATATGAAAGAAAGTCCTTAGTATTCTTAGAGTGCTGTTAATAAACAGACCAAGAAACGGCTAGAGTACTGTGATATCAAAATTTAAAGCATACACTATACGTCATCCTATGCAGTAGGGTAGCCATTATTGTGTATTGCTATATTTAGTTCTTAACATTTCTTATCATTTTTTCCGACATTGCGTCCTTGTTTATATTGTCGAATCATTTATTTAAGATGTGTCTTGGAAGCGGAAAAGTAGCAAAACAAAACGGTAAGCTACTTGGTTTTTCAAAAAGTTACTTTTATCTTTTCATTGTCCGTAAAACAGTGTTTAGGATAGACTGCCTGAAAACGGAAACCCACGATTTAAATGAAGATCAAAGCAAAGCGTCATAGAAATGAGACAACAAAAAATTTCCCAAGAAAAAAAAGATATGGCCATCGCTTTCTGTCCGTTCTTTCTTCCAAGGATCACAAAGACATCATCACCACCGTCGTGCAAGCCGCTAAACGAAACCTGCAAAATGCAATCGAGATTGCTGCAATTTAAGACCATTAAGGCTGTTGTTAAAGGACTTTCAATAGAAAAGACGATCGCATAAGAATATAGTACAAGAATTCAGCTTAAACGGTTTTTGTCGGATGACCAAACCGATTACGATCTCAAAAGTAGCTAGACAGTTTACTTAATGGAAAAGAGTAGTTTATTATAATACACTAAAATATGCAGCATGGCGTCTAAATCGGTTGTTAGCCTCGATTTATCATGACTTGCTAGCCCTGTAAAGTGCGTATGTCTTAACTGTCAATGAACATGGCGACAATTTCAGTAAAGCTAACAATTTTAAGTGCCTAGTGTTTCTAGACAGCTTTGACTGCTGACCTAAATTAAAACTAGCCTTAATTCATTCTGCACTTTACTTTTCTTCTTGCTTTTTTTTACATTTGACGGATATAAGTGAACACGAAGTCTACCGTCGATACTATCTAAAACCGTCACGACTATCCCTTTTCTTTTCTTCTTGGTTTTTGACTTAGGAGAACAAATACACCCAAAAAAATTGTGTAGCCAACCAAACCTTATCTTGGTATCTCTGTCTATTTTTCTTCATTCGACAAAAGGTGAATATCTTAACGCTGTACAAGGGCTTTCACCCACATGCATTTGCACCTTGAAAATAGCATTCACACACTGTGTAAGGGGAAAACGCAATAGCGATCAGGAATCATGTTGAAAAAGGCTTACTGTTAGTTTCTAAACAGTAGGGTATGAGTATGTACAATGGTATCCTGCATGTGACTGGTCGACAGGCTCCACTTGCGCAACCGTACCTAAGAATAGCATGAGACAAAGCAGATCTAGGTTTGAGTTTGCTTCCACTTTTCATAGTTAACTAAATCGTCTAAATCAACTAAGAGTCAGTACATGGGTCTATCAAACCGCGCTATTTGTAACGAACAACTTGAATTTTCCATAACTTAAAGTGAATCGTAAGGGTGGTAAAAATATATTACAAATATCATAGAGTGGCTTGAGCAAAGTAGATACAATCATGATCACTTGTGAGCTTAGTATGAGGATATGTTTAGTGATCATCAGTCAATGGAGCTTCCAATAACCGATTAAGTCACAAAAATCGCCTTTATCCCATGCCCTTCAGTCAAACGGCCCATGTCGATGATAGAATGAAAGACTGTTGCTTAGGAAAACACTATCTTAACTCGGTACTAGCCAGTGCTTGATGAAGATAACATAGTGTTTGCAGCGATATTGTGATTTTCATCAAGAACGTTGTGTCACAGTAAAGCTTCCCCAGTGACAGTTCCCTTTACGAGTCTAGTTTAAGATTGGTATCGTGATTTTCTCGCGCTAAACTTCATCATCATCATGTTCGTCATCGACATCATCAAAGTCATCGGTAATGACATCTTTAATACCACCTAATCTTTCCATGAACTGCTTCTGGAAGATATCCATTGAGTCAGCGTCAATGAGAACAAAACGAATATCGTTTAGAACGGCTTTTGGGTTTGCTCGCTCCTTTTCTTCATCGGTAGTTTTGCTTGGTATGTCTTTCGGCGGCTTCGTCGATATTTTCTTTTTATCTGTTTGTATTTGTTTTTATTACTTCGTTTTGACCCTTTTTTCTTTGCATCTTCTTTTTTCGTAACCGCCGCCATCCTGAGATACTCCTCCACTGCGTTTAACATGGCAAAGGCACACACATCAATAGGTGCACCAAAGATACCGGAGCTTATCGCTGGTATGGCGATGGATGATAAACCGAGTTTAGACGCCAGTTTAAGACTCTGAAGGCACGCTTTCTCTAGAAGTTTCATATTTTCCGTATGTGAGTGTTTAGCCCACTCGGGACCAACGGCATGAATGACAAACTTACAGGGAAGATTTCCAGCGACTGTATGCACAGCGTCTCCAACGTGTAGCGCTTGATAGCCGCGTTTTCGCCTCAACGTGTCAGAATCCTTCTGGATTTCGAGCCCACCTCTTTGGACGATCAGCCTTGCAAGACCAGCTCCGTGGGACAAAAATTCGTTCGCAGGATTCACGATTGCATCAACTTCCTCGGCAGTGATGTCTCCATAACGAAGGGAGATACACACACCATTTTCTGATCGATAATTATAGGTTTCAAAAGAAATCATTTCTGGTGCTGCCATTACCATTTCATGAGTACCAAGGCCAGTATCGTAACTTTCCTGTTGACTCATTCCTCCTTCCACAGTTCGCCTGGCTTCTCCTACAGATCCAGCATCACCATACACAAAAAACGGACCGTGTTCGTGGGGCCGGTCAATGATTACTGGGTACATAGTTCCAATGTAATCCATTAAAACTTTAGCTGAATCCTCGTCTGCACCTTTTAAGTCCAGCTCATTGATAACCATACCCTGGGTGACAGTTTTGATAAGTTCTGAAAGCTCACTGCAAGCAGTGTTAAATCTTGTGGGATCACAGTTCTGTTTAGCCTGAAGTATAACTCGAGTACCGTCATCCGAAGCGGTAATTTCCACAAGAAATTCTCCATTGATTTCATTTAACTTGTCTCCGTAAAACCTCTCCATAAAACGGAAGGCATATGGATCTACTTGAAACCGTTGTGCTTCTATTGTGAGATGTACACGTCCTTCCTGATCGGCGCTGTTGACTTCGTTGATAGGGATGACCTTCGTTTCGGGACTACCTTCGACAGGGTCTTTGGCCGTCAGGCGAAGATTGGCTAGTTGCGCAAAAATTTCTTGGTCTTCGTTTAAGAACCTTGTTATTTGGAGGTGGCAATCATTAATTTGTTTCAAGGTACCTGATATAAAAAACGTTTTGTCATCGCTCCGAACGGACACATCTGTGGCCACCATTATTTTCTCCAAAATCTGTTTCGCCCCTTTTAGTGGAATGCCCAACAAGACGGGATCAAATTTTGCTGTAACCTGACAAAATATCTGAAAACAATAATATCGTCGGTAAATAGTTGAGCATAACATAGAGTATGTTAAGTATAAACCTATCGAAAACGGCTCCTCTCCTGGCGTATGTCTCGCTTCTCGTGCTAGCCTCACTTTCGTCTTCGCTCACTCTAAGAATGCAAAAAGTGTCGCCTATTCTAAAAGCTACTCTTAAGGTGAGGATGGAACTCGCTACAAAAAGATCTTCTTCACACACGCCTTCTAAAATAAAGCTTCCTACTCAGAGAAACCAAGAAGTCAACTCAACAACCTCAGATCACATGAGATGACAACCAACCTTGCTCGGGATTTATCATGAGGGTAGCGAGAGCGTCTACCAACTGTTTACCTTACTTTAACCGAACGTATATTTAGCGGCACCGTATTAACAGTCACCCTGTATTAAGCGGTCAGTTTTCTTAGTCTCGACATTTTTACCCCATAAAAACACCTTTACATCGTTATTAAGCGGTCGTGGTTACCCTTTGCTGAGTCACGGCGACCAGTTTGTATTATCTTCCACCAGTATTGAACGGTCACTTAAGGCGGGACCACTCAAATAAAACTAAGAATAATCTTTCGAGAAAAATTTAATTCACATCTATCTCCCGATATCGATAGTATTAAGCGAGTTTTGTATATTTAGTGATCAATCATGGCATAAATGACGTTTTTTATTGTTTCTGTTTAATACCCTTTTTATGTGGAAGCTATTTTTAAGTGGTCACTTCGCCATTCCCCTTAATGCAAGTTTAGCTGTATCTCTTGTTGACCCCTGCGCATATGTTCTCCACGAAAACATCTATATCGTCACGCAAAATCGTTGCGTGACAGTCGACAATGATCAACAACCATGCCTGATGTAGTGATACCGAGCAAATCGCAAATTTATCATACCTCGTCATTGATCACTTTCCTTTTGCATGGTAGCCGATCAACCTTAACCACCACACCTTCAATCTTGTGTTCTTCCTTTAAAACTGTTTCCACAGCTATATATAGTGAGAAATAAAACTATCGATCATGCTCCCAGAATGTTGATAAATTGCCATAATCTGAGACTGTCGTAAGTAAACGTAGTGACATACACTCGGTGATTAGTATATTAAATCATCGGTTTATGATAAAATATTTTATCGGACTTGACCGGTTTTAAACTGTTTATTGCTCTCATTTTCCTGCATCTTTGTTTCTTATCACCAATTTTTTGTTCTCATTTGTTTACTCGTCAGAAAACTTGAACAGCCGTAAGAGATTATGAGCGCCTTTCAAAATTGAGGTCCGATGTGAAAAGTAACCGGACTCCTTTGAACAGATTTCGGTTAAACACAAAAATAACGAACTAATGAACCAGGAAATGGACATGAACGCCATCTGAATCAAAGAGAGTGCACTTTAGAAGTTAAACACAAATATCCTATTGTGGATGATTGAATATAACGAGTACATAGCCTACATCTATGAATATGTAACATTTTTAAGCGTTTAAAGCCAAATTATTTCGTTATAAAGCACCTACTTTCCTCTTCTTCAAATGTGATTACTGCCCGGTCTCCATCTTGGGCGAATTTCACCGACATCACATCGCCGCCGCCATGTTTACGCTGCTGAAAGTGAATAACAATAGCTTCTTCTTTGGTACCCGGAGTAATATCTGACACTATGATGCTTTTAGGGATGTCGTCTGGGCTCATTTCCTCTAGATGAGATAGATTAGAAGCCATTAAGTGACATATCCTCGGCAAAATATGCCTTTGCAACAAGGATGCTTCAATAAATTGCCTGCCTAAGCTGGCCACAAGGAAAAACACGAGACGGTTATTAAAAAAAGGGTCTCGGGAGAGCGACACCGCGTTGAATAAATAATTTTAGGGTTCGGGGATTCCCCGTTTAAAACGTGTTGAGTCAAAACCGGTAATTCTTGAAAACGAAAGCTACAATTTTCTTTAAGCTGCATCAAAATTGTACCAACCGATATACCATAGTCATTTGAGAGGAGAAAATACGAATCTTAGAATTCCTTTTTACTTTCTTAACCCCTGTTTTCTCGGAATTTCAATCAAATAATGACAACATTTCTCAGAAACAAAATACTTGTTACCATCCAATAAGAAACCAACGAAGGTCATGTCAACCAATCAGAGCGTAAAAAATTGAGTTATTTGCATATCCGGCTTTCTACGAAGAACTGACGAGGTCAATAATTATAACACGAAATTCTTGAGGTGCGTTGCTCTCAGAGGATTTGAAATGGACAAAAAGCAAATTTTGGTCACTGGCTTCCCGAATGGAACGGGAAAAGCACAGCTCATGATCTACTTCCAGTCCGAGAGAGATTCTGGAGGAGGTGACGTAGAAAAGATCGAAATTCACCGCGGAAGAGCATACATCACTTTCGACGAAGCTAGAGGTGTGAAATATTCTTTCACTGGCCTTGAGTTTTTCTGCGCGCTCGTTGCTTTTAATTTCGCATCAAACAATAACACATTGAACGGATTCACATTTATAAGAGTATGGATAAGAAAGAGTTTATATAATATTCTTAAGCTCAAGAGAAAAAAGGTTTGTCGTTCTGTAGTTCGCTGCGGAAGTTTCGGTAGTTTGCGAGTCGTCAGGTATCACTAAACTGATTGACACCCATCGTATGCTGGAGTGCAATTAAAGTCGAAAATTGAAAGTTTTTGGAAAAATGAAAACTACTGACGTAGTTTTACAGAATCATCAATCTTGTGGAGAACGGAAATCGAAAGTCGGACGTCTCACATGGATGTTTTGGCCGTTACTCACGCAACACGCTATGCAGTGAAGGGATTTTTCCCTGCGTTTGATTACATCACTTTTCACCCTAAGCGATCTTCGCAACAGTAGTGGTAGTATCTACTAGACCGGCCCAAATGCTGTAAAAAAAAAAAGGATAAAAAAAATTCAAATGAACTTCCGGTAAAGTTCGACCGCAAGTCTATCCATTTTCAGTGAGAGGTCGGCATTGCATGCAACTGAAGCTATCAGAAAGGACGGAAAATCTTTTCAAACTACAATCTGGATATAGTGTTCATGATAGTTACCATACCACTAAATGTGGCTGCAAATCGAATTTATCGTGATTCACGGTAGCTGTATCGCCGCATTCAAGTGCGTGCTACAAAAATTTGCACTCGGCGGACTCTCATGCACTTGAAATATACAGAGCAGCTTCTTCAGCCTCTTTAGTCTAGATTGCATTTTCTTATGTTAAAATTTCTTTTTGGTTGAAAATGTCAAAACTCACCAGTCTGCAGCAGTTTGAAGAGGAGCACGAGAAACGAATTTTGCGCTTCTAGTGTAGATATGCCTAGAGGCTATTGTATGATTGCTGTAAGAAAATATTCATATCGCCTTTCCCTTTTGCACATGGTCAGAACTACGAAATGATACCCATTTCCATATTTTTGTCAATTTTTCGGTCTACAATAAAGCTTCCTTTGCAGAAGCGTTGTAATAGGTAGAAACTAGCCATATTTATGCTGGGATAAATTGGCAAGATGGCGATTCATAGCCTAAAACTTATACAAATGTGATCATCGAATTTTCATTGCGTAACCTCTAACAAATGTTGCGCCACGATAAAAAGCATCACGACAAATGCACATAAAATGAAAGAGGTGGAGGAAGGGAGAAGGAAGGTCAAAACTTGCTGAGTGTTTCAGGTCCGGAGACAAGTCCAACGGACTCAAGGAACATGCCACATCTTATCATGACCGCTGATGGCTCAGTGATTTTTCATTAAAACTCGTGACTATAGCGCGAAGAACCTCAGTTCTATTGTTAGCGGTGATATCAACAGATAGTCTTGAATGGATCTTGCTATTGTTGCCCATTCACATTTTGAAGTTTTGAGTCTGTTCTCTTATAGTTCGACCCTCCAGTAATCCTTGCCTTTTCCTCATTAAAAACAAAAATATGTTTGAAGCATACAATATAGCTAATATATAATCTCATTACTAAGTTTTAAATGAAGCGTATCATATGAAATGATACGCTTCATTAAAACTTTCACTTATTAATTTATTTTTCGATCAACTGGTTTTAAAGTAAACATAAAAAAGTTCATGTATGATTCCTGTTTCCGGGAATTTATTTCTTCAAATCGTTTCCTTTACAAGTGTGGACTGTTTTTTATGTCGCTAAGCAGAGATATTAAGCTGAAGTTTGTTACTTCCTGCACGCAGGTAACGTAACTGGCAAATAAACCCCGTAAATGTTGGAAATAAATGTGTTTTTCACCAGAATGTCTTTACAGCGTGCATTGACCTTTTCGAAAACATGGGAAACCATCTCTCTCTCTGTACTGCATGGAATTGTTTGGAGGGAACCATGATTCACTTTAAACATTAAAGCTCCCTTAAATGTAGAAAGTAAGCAATAATTTTGTGAAAAATGAAATTGATAACAATAACAGTAATAAGACATCTAAGGTGAGCAATTCTTGCAAGTTTCTGTTGCTGTTGCATATTGATTCGTATTTTATTTTTTCCTATGGTGATGTTTATCTCGATTTCCTTCTGTAGCCGCCCGGCGGGTTGTTCGCCGAAGTAACCACAGCCTCCAGAATTGTCAACTTCAGGTGAAGTTCCATCCAGACTCAGAGGATGAAGATAATGAGTACGAACAGGAACGACATAATGGAGTAAGTACTCTAAAGGACTTCTTAGAATAATGTACAGATATTTTCTCTATCCATTTCAAAGGCTCTCTGTTACTAGAACAAAGTGATTGACAGTTCTTTCGGAGCTTATTTCGTAAATAATCTCATGGGCAACTCAAATAAGTGCTAAAAAGTGAAATGAGAATTTGTGATAATTATAATTATAACTGCATGTTGAAAAAATGTATTTGACACACACATATCAGCAAATACAGATAAGCAATACGGAATATACAAGCTGTTTCCTTTCGCCTTTCCAGTTCTGTAACATCTTGAGGCGACAGACAATACGTCACTCACCACAGCTTAGGGGTTAGGCTTGTGTGGGAACTTGAGGTTGGAGGTAAAAATTATTATTTAAGGCATTGTCGACAAGTGCCTACAAATTAGATTAGGCTGCAGTACCAAAAATGCTTAATCAGCTCGTCAGAAGCGTAGAAACCTCTCTCTCTTCAAACTGGAAGAGTTAGAGTTTTACAACTGATTGAAGTCTTTACGTCAAAACTGCCTCGAAATGAAAAAGAAAACGTAAGTCTATCATGGAGATGTTGCCCGCTGATGAACGAATGTGTCATGTTTCATCAACCAGTGCAGATAAAACGGAAACTGTGGTACCGGACACTAAAACTTCAACTCGAGGGTTCTCTACTATCGAAAAAATTGGCAGTGGGCGCAATGTCGTTCCACCACTAAGGTATTACACTGAGCACGCCTTACAAGTTCATGTTATTATTTATAGCAATTTGAAGAATATAAGGACTTACCAGCTTCCCAGCAATTCGAAAGAGAACAGCAAGGACATACTAATGAACCTCCCGTGCTAAAGCATTCCACAGTCCAAGTTAAAGGTGTGTTGCCAGACACATCAAGAGATCTCCTTGTCTTCTACTTCGAGAATACAAGGCGATCTAAAGGTGGTTCAGTCTCTTCTATCGACATGAAACCTGATCTTCAAATTTGCTTGATCACTTTTAAAAATTCTGAAGGTGTGTAGAACTTTTTTATCCCTATTTTATCAGTAGCATTTGGAAATCTTGCTTTAGAACAACTTTATCCATCAGCAATTGTCTTAGCAGTCGTGCCGATTCGTCTCCTGTACAACAATTAGTGTTTAATTGTTTGCGGTTATTTTAAAGCATGACACTGTCGAAGCACTTGACTTAAGCTTCTATGTAATTACTCACCTGCGTAATTATTCATTATTTACTTATTCATAGATTTATTCGTTCATTTTTTGTTCTTTTATCCTTTTTTTCTGTCTATTCACCTTTTTTTTAAAAAGGTGTGTTTCTTTCGTTTTAGACTTTTTTCGACGTTATGTTTATTCCTCGACGTCTCGACCAGTTTTTTGGGATGTGAGGCAAAAAATTGATCCACTATGTTCTTCCCTTATATTAGGCATTATTTTTCGAGTTTATAAAATTTTTGCAGACGCTCAAAGAATCGTGGATAACTCCCCTCACATTGTGTCTGGCCTTCGTCTTGACGTGTCTTTTGTCGAAGAGAGGGAAGATGAATTGGCAAATAACTACGAAAACAACAACACTATGTCAGACGGTTCCATCACAATAATTGTCAGCGGTATATCATCGCCTATCACCAATGATTCCGTAAGGTATTACTTTGAAAATTCAAGGAGATCTGGAGGAGGAGCCATTTCTGATATTTTCTTTGCCGAAGACGGAGACGCTAGGATAACTTTTCATGAGGTGAAAGGTACGTCACCAAAATGTAGCATTCTTATTGGTATTTAATGGTCAGGAAAAGCCTGTTGCAATGAAAATTTTCAAGTTTGTACAAATAGTAAGAGACATTACTCGAACGGAAGTTCATTGCCAAAAACGCTTTTAAAATAAACTCAGTTGTTAACTATGATAAATTACTGCGCAACACTCCATGACTCAACGTCGGCCAACCCCTTTAATAGGCTACATCTGTTTTGGTCGTGCCCTTACGTAACCAGACTACTATTATTATCATTGTTGTTGTTACTGTCGTTTTAATCGTTTATACTATGTTGATTTCTCCTTTTCTCGTTGCATCACAACAGATTTACAAAAGCTTCTTCACCAATCACATTCTATCAATGGAAAGGTCATCTCAGTGAAGAAAGAACCACTAAAGAAAAAAGTACCATTAGACCCAATTCGAGTGCAGGTCCGTGGTCTAAACGAGAAAATTACTGAAGACTGTCTACTTTCTTACCTGGAGAAATACAGCGGCGTAGAGGTTAAAGAAGTTATCAAAGGTTGTAATAACAATGCAGTGGCAATATTTGAAGCCGAACCAGGTACGACGGACGTTTTCTGAGCCTTTCCTCCAGCTATTCTACAACCTTTCCCCATCATATCGGCAAAGTAAAGTAGCTGCGTTTCCGAAAGCTGAAACTAGGCTATTAGTAGTAATAGGCTAGGCTATTATTAGTAGCTTTTATTACCACTGATTTTTTCTTAGCTCACAAAATGAATCTCTTCCAGATTTCGAGTCGCTTTTCAGTAAGGTGCACGGCAACAATAAAGGACCTGAAGGAAGTAAACTTCGTTTGGAACGCATTCCTGTTTGCTCCTCCATTTTAGTCGACGGACTTAATGAGAATACTTGCAAAGATACCATACAACTATATTTTGAAAGCAACAGACGTAGCGGTGGAGACATCGTGAGCCATGTGGAGCGTATCACGAAAAGTAGTGCCGTTGTTCATTTCGAGAAAGCATCAGGTAGTAACGTTTTTCATCTCTCATTTCGCTTTCTTAATATTAGGAGAAACTTTCCAAGGAAAAAGCAGGTTGGCTACTCGTCATCTCAACATGCTCAATCAGGCCACAGATTGCCTACTTGTTCTTATGAAATCGGTGTTATAAAAGGAATGCTACAACCAGGGAGAAACAGATAACCATTGAGCATTTCAAAAGGTCTTGAAGATAGTGGATCTTTTTTTGAAAGAGCATTATCGTTGACAGATAAAGACAATAACTCAGACGATGCCCCTTTCGTAACGTTCCCAAATTAGATAACGATCAATGTCAGTAAACAAATCAAAGTGTCTGTGATGGACTAGCGCTTGATTGAATAGAACTGTATCCATTTGTCCCTTGGTAATTATGAGAAATACGAAATCAAATTAGTTCACTCTCACTATGTACCTTCTTTTTCTTCACAGCCGTTCAGAGTGTAATCGGCAAAGTGGTTCACAAACTCGACGATAAGAACCTGGAAGTGAGGTCATATCTTCCTTTTCTCGACTAAGAATAAGATAGAAAAACCATTGGATGCTGAGGTCTTTGAACACATTAAGATTAACCACGATCATGATTTATAAATTCTGACGGAGCAAAGCACTGGTCGACGTCAGCATGGATCCTGACGAGAAAGTTGTCGTAATTGCCAACTCAGAAAAGGGAACCGTTCCCAAACAGTTATGGCAAGAAAGATCAGGACGCCTGCTAAGCTTCTTTCAAGGTTAGGAAAGCTAAAATTCGCATTCCTGCTGAATTAGCCGATGAAGTATCAGAGCGCTGGAGGAAGGCCCAACCTTCCACGGAGACATCTACCGATCTAAATCTCTCAGTGAACAAAACCGAGTAGCGTGTATCATTGGAAGGGTTCAAGAAGTACGTGAGGAGGAACGGGAGAATGGAAGAGAATATCCGTTCTGTTGAACAAGATATCGAGTTTATGAAGTCAATAGGAAAAGTGACTGAAGATGTCATTGCGAGGGTTCGATTGAGATTATTTGAAATGTCTGGCACCTGCCAAAATGTGAGCATCAGTATTTAAAAATCTCTTTTGATATGGACGGGGAGATGTTCTTTGAGGGTCCCAGAGATCTCCTTAAAGATGTGCCGGCTAAAGTCTTAACCTTCATTTCAAGGATGATTAAAAGTCCACTAAGCTCGCACTAAACATTATAAATATTTCAAAAAAGCCCTTAGTGTCGAGCTACCTTCAAGATCTTTTCAAGACAAAAAGCTTACAAGCGATTTTTGAATGCGGCCAAAGCAACAGCTTTAACAAGATCAAGATCATTGGTGTTGACGCGTTTAACACTCGAGAAGCAGAAATAACTTTGCTGACTGCAATTCAAGAAAAACTGACGAATATGCTCAAGTACATAGCAGCCGTATTTGGAAAAGTTTCTAATCGCGAATAATATCCAATTGTAAAGTTGAAGTTGTCGTTGACATCTCCTGTTTGGGTTAGCAGAATCGCAGAAAAAGTTAAAGAAAGCTTTGATCGAATTATCGACTTCCTTCAAAACACACTATTCTAGGTGACACCGTCGTTTTAGACAATGATTCAACGCGTTACCTCTTCGAAAGGTTAAGTTCCAAACTTGACGAAATTAAGGAACCTAGTCACTTTATCCGTAGACACGCGAATAGCTGCAGACTGTAAATGTATAGAGGTATCTGGTACTGCAGAAGGACTACAAAGATGCGTGACTTGAGGTGCGTACCAAGAATTCTTGAACTAATTAAAACTATTTCGAAGGCCTCCATCCCGATTGATAGGCCAGGGATGAAGAAATTCTTCTCGCATGGTAAAGGACCTAAGTTTGTAGAATCAATTGAGGACGTAAATAGTTGTATCATCATTCCAAGAGAAAGAAACGAAAACGAATCCTTGCTGATCACAGACGAAAAGGAGATGACAGAATTTCAAGGATCACCCCCCGAGTTCATTTGTAGCTTCCTCGTGAGAGGAAAAAGGAGATTTCTGTCTTTAGAAACGACGTCACGAAACAACCCGTTGATGCTATAGTTAAAGCAGCCCATGAAAATTTACAACATGTAGGAGGTTTGGCTAGAGACATAGTAAAGGAGGGTGGAAGCGACATCCAGCGTCACTGCGATCAGTTTGTTGCAGATAAAGGCATTCTTTTAGAGGGGCGGACACTAGTTACAGTTGCAGAAAGGTTACTATGCAGTAAAATCATCCACATATTTGGGCCTAAATGGGATTTCACGGCAGACAAACTTCGAAGAAATGGCACCAAAACAAGGCAAGATCGCGTTCTCAATCTGGCCATTAAGAATTGCTTAATGGAAGCCGCAAGTCTGAAATCAAAAGCTATTCCTGCGGTAAGTTCCGGCGTGTTTGGCGTACCACGAGACCTTTGTGCTAAAGTCATACTAGATGCTGTCGTATAATTTTGCCAGGAGAATCCGTATTGCCATTTATCAGAGATTCATCTTGTCAACAAAGATACACCTACCGTCTCTGCTTTCTCGGATGAAATGAGGAAACCGTTTTCCAGAGAGAATAATTTCACTAGTAGGGAAGTATCTGGTCAACCAATCCCTACGCTCCAAGTTAGAGACAGTTCGAAACGACCCAGAGGAGCTCCGAACTCCTTTGCAACGCAGGAGGGCATCCAAATCACCATAAAGAATGGAAATCTCGCTAAAGAACGGGTGAGGCGATTAATTTGGAAGTTGAAGCTTTACCATGTCTTTGTTTTGCGTTTTCTTATTATCTTATTTTGAAATAATAATTCCACTCGTCTCTATCTTCAAGTCTGAAATCTTGGTTGGAACAGCAGCAGGAAATCTCAAACTTGACCAGAAACGTTATGCGATGGCGCTCAGCAAAAAAGCTGGTCAATGTTTGCAAGACGAATATGATAAGAAGAAAGCTGTGCCTGAAGATAACATCGCTGAGCTGCAGTAGACCGGAGGTTTGAAATGTCAGGCTGTCATCTTTGCCATATGTGCGGACTGAGACAATGGTAAAGGAAGACAGGTAACTCCTAGCTGTATAGACAGCTTGTTTAAGCTTATGTCCAGGACAGCACGCTGTAACGAAAATTGGCGAATTTTTTTGACAAATTCGTCAAAGCGTAGTCAGCTTGGCGGAATTGAAGCGTAGTCAGCTTGGCCGCCATTTCGTTGCTGCATGTATTTCTGGACACATCTCCTTGTTTAAGATTAAAACATGACTTTCTCACAAAATTCCAATGACAGCTTCTTGCTCGTGGCTTTAATTGTTAAGTGAGATTGAATTCAGGTAAACTCGAGGCTGTCCTTGTTAGACAACATTTAGAGATCACTAACTGCAACTAGTTCAACTCGTAGCACTCATTCGCGAAAATTCACTAATTCCAGTTGCTAATATCAAGGATGTTTTAGATTCAGTTGTTCTAACCTGTTTTCCTTTCATTTATCTACTGAATAGGCTTTCATGTTCCAGATTATTGGGATTCTCAGCCACAAGATAAGAAGGTGCATATTGCCGAGCTATAGCCTGCTTCGCATGCACTGGAGCACAAGAAGGTCAGGGATCTGTTCAATACAACCCGCTCAAATAAAATTGTCAAAATAGACAGAATTCAAAATGAAGCTTTGTTTGGAATTTACGCTGTTCAACAAAAGATGGAAGAGTCTGATGCCCGTGGAGGCAATGAAATGCTGTTATTTCATGGAATTGCAGAGAATAACTGTGAAGCGATTAATCACAAAGACTTTAACAGAAGTTATTGTTGACAAAAAAATTAGTTGACAATGGTTCACTTCGTGAGTGAAATTGACTTGCTAGACTAATAAATTTGACAAAAGACAGTGCGTTTACTAGTTTCTGTGAAATTCGACATATAGAAATTTAATCCAGGTCGGTATCTTACTACGAGCAGAGGAAGGTTAGCAAATTTCAACAACACATGTCTACTAGTAACCATGAGTATATCGTGCAATGATAGTCAAAGAAAGTAAACAAACTCAGAACTGTCTTTGAAAGGGCCTTTTCTTTCTAGATTATGCCTATTGCAGCGTCAGGAATAGACCGTTAATCGACAGAAACATACTTAAAAGGCCACTGGAAACATTGGAATAAAATTGACCCAATACAATATATCAGAAATACGGATGGATAAAATTTAAATATCCAGGGCGAAAAAGGAATGGAATTAGGGTTTCGTGAAAGAATTTTTTTACCACCAGATTTTTCTTCTCTCTAGAGTAAAAGTTTACATACGTAAATCGAGAGAAATTGCAATAACATACATTGGTCTGAAGGTATAACACTCTGTTTATTTCCTAACTGAGTTGTGCTTCGAAGCGCAACGTTGGTAAGGAAATAAACTAAAATAAAACTAAAAGGGAATTGTTCTGGAATGAAAATAAAAAACTGGATTAAGTTTATCTGACTTTCCCCCTCCCTTAAAAGTAAACGTTACTATCAAACATAACGTACCGTGTATTTTCAGACAACCTATATGGAAAAAGGCGTTTATTTCGCCAAGGATGCAAACTATTCCGCAAGTTCTCAGTATTCGCCGCCAGGTCCAACAGGCATTCGACACATGTACCTCCCAAGAGTGCTGGTTGGTGATTACACAGTGGGTAATAAAGACATCATTGTCCCTCCATCCAAAACACCAAATGATCCAACAGATACAATGGCAGCGTCGTGGATCAAAATGCCCAACCCAGGGATCTTCGTCGTATTTCACGACCCGCAATGTTACCCCGAGTACCTGATAACTTTCCAGTAACGGACTGGCACTTCTTGGCACTACTTTGACTTCTTTTGCAATTTTGTTAATTTTTTCTTTTTGCTTGTTCTACGCTTTTTGGAGAAAGTGTAGAAAAAGAGGATGACAGAGGACATTAAAAAAAGATCGTTGTAACGGAAATTTCGAGGGCAGAAAAACCAAATTTTGATTCACAAAGAGAGAGGAGAGGTAGCTTATACTTGTTTAATACAATTAGATTTGCAACAATTTCTTTCAAAGGAATTAGCCTAACTTACGTTAGCTTGCTCGACATTCCCCAGAGTAGCCGATTTCTGCTCGATTTACTTTAATGATATTTTGTTTGACGTGACACCTTCTGCAGTGAAAAACCGTGGGGCATTCTAGTTTTTTCCTCATTTGAGCTTTTCCTTCAACCAACAACTCAGCTGAACTCAAACGGAAGCAAAATTAGAATTAGCGACCCTTAACGTTTTTGGCTAAATTCTTCAATAATGATAATCTTCGCAGCTTTTTTTTCGCCTTTTTATGATATAACCTAATTAAGTAAACCTCAATCGTCAAATAACTTTAACTTTATTGTCTCCATAACATATCAGTTTTCGGGACCCAGTTTTCTCATTATTTTGCTTTTTATTTGTTTTAGTCACCTATTTCGTTATTTTTTTAAATATCTCGTCCATTAAAGTTACAGTTCTCAAACTAAGAGATGGTAGACTGTTTGGAAGAAGATAGGAATTACTTAGCTACTGTGACGTATAACAGGGCAACGACGGACAAACCAGACTAGTCCTATGGTGTTAGATATCTTGTTTCCTTAGACGCCCTGAAAGATAGAGATTAGCTACCGCTTTGTATGAAAGCAGGGAAGTGTTTCAAGCTTTTTCCTGGTAGATTGTACGATAACTTACCAATTTTTTGGTTGAAATTAAATCGAATTAAAGCTTCGCGTTTTTTGACATTCATGTGCAGTGGAGTGTCATACACACCATGGTAACGCCGAAGTAACCTTATAACGAAGGACGTCCCTAATATCAGCCCGAATCCGATATTTCCTGGATGAAATCAAGAGTTACCTTTTATGTGAGAAATGGCCACGATCTGTGCAAACTTGAACAAAGTAATTAAAAGGACACAAGGGCACACACACTGAAAGGACACAAATACAGAGGACCGAATAAGCATAATTTCTGATAAATTTCCTCGTTTTGTGGCTTGTAGCCTCTTTATTTTGCTAGTGATGCTTTGCTTAAGAACTTCATTGCAACTTACCCGTGGGCACCCCCTGTTGTACTTGTCTTATGATGTATATCATTCCACGTGATCTGATTGGATAGTCCTGTTGTTATGGAGGTACCCACAGTAAAAACCAAACGTGCGTTAAAAGGTCTGTTTAGCAGCTGCTAGACTTCTTTACCCTCACGATCATCAGGCAAATACGCAGAACGATACGTACCATTGTACTGCTGACCAGGGTTTGGGTGCTCCGGGCCTTGAATTCCTGATTGAAACGAATACGGAATGCAGATGGTACCACACCTTGATGACAAAGAAAAAAGAACAACTTCGAATTGAAACTCTGTTCATCATAGAGACACTTATAACCTATTTGAAATCAGCAAATAGAATTCTCTTGATACCGTTGTTGATTTTTGTCAAAAAAAGGTTCTGAAAGCCGTTTAAATATCAATTAAGAAGTTTCTAAAGAAATTGTGGTGCTGCGTCGGTGAAGAGTATAGAAGGGTTATTTAGTATTATCAACTGAGTTGATAGGGTAAATTGGCCACCGTAAAGAGTTTTAAAGCTAACGTTTCGCGCGTTTGCCCTTTGTCAGGGCGAAATCACCGTTCGCATATTGATACATTTGGTAGAGCAACACATAGGCTCATGGGAAAAGCTTGAGTTGTTTTCCAGAAAAGCAAGCGGTTTTAACGCCTTAGAGGAACACTTCTTGGCAAGAAACATGACCACACTTGATAGTTTGGTAGTTTGGGGTTTAACCATACTATCAAGGCATATAGGACATCTGTGATGCATGTTTGTCCACCCTTGAGGGAAGAGTGAAAAATGGATAATTAATTCAAAATAGCAAAGAAGTAATTATGTGTTCATATAATTTTATTTTGTAAGTGATTTTGCTCCATACAGTTATAACAGCCCGTAGTGGGGGGCAGTGCTGTCAACCTGTGGTTACTAGAAATCCTGCCTACCAATGATCAAATTTTTTTTCCTTTACATGTCATCCCTCATCCTATGACTGTCTCACATTAAGAAAAAAAATAAATTTATAAAGGGGCAGACATAATGACTAGTGATCTTGTTTCTTACATCTTTATCCTTCCCTTTCATAACTATAAGTAACAAAATTAAATTGTATTATAAGCTACCTATGTCACATACAGTGTACATTAGATTTGGTATGTATAGGTATATCGGCCTGAATTACATTAAGTATGAATATTATAATAAATTTGTTATACCTCCCAAATAAAATGTGTGTTCTGATTCGAGAACATCTTTTTATGTGCAATGGGTCAAAACTTGCTAAATGTAACTTTGTAAGTGTAAACAAATCTCAAACTCTCTGGCAGAACAAAAACTAAACTTTCAACTCACACATGATAAGATTGTGCAGCACTTGAAATCTTCACAAATTTGTGTGCCAGCCTATGTCAAAAAACTCATTTCACAGACAATTTTAGTAACACTAAATATATAATATACATAGCATCTATTTCATTTTTAGTTGGGAGGTATAACAAAACACTTAATGATTAGCACCAGTTTTTGCTTCGAATTCCCTAATTAAAACTTAACATTTCCATCAACTTTGCCTACTTGAGGAACATTGAGGCTTTCCAGGAGACAAACCTACGACGTCAATAGAGGTCAGTAATTCCAAAAGCATCCATATCAAAAAATGGGAAGTACTGCAAACTCAAATATTGATATAATTATAAAAAAGTGACAGTCAAATATCATCAGCAGTATCGTTCAAGCCTCAGTGAGGCATTAGTGAACTTGAAAATATATTGGCTAAATACACCTTTTGATTAAGACAACAACTGACTGCTAATCAAATATAATTGCACAACAATCATTGAACCCACAGCATACAGCAAGTATACATGAAACTTAAATTAATTATTAGGGGACTATTAAAAAACTATCAATTTGTAAACGTGTACATTCTGCCTATCTGCCATATGTTAATCAAGGCAGCCTACAACTAGCTCATAGAATCCCAAAAAACAATATTCTTAACAAAAATTTGCAACACAGGCATGGATTAACTTTTTCTTCCTATTTACCTCACATTTGATGGAATACATACATTTGCCTGAGAACAATGTATCTAGCAGATCAGGAGGGAACTTGGTTGTTGATCAAGTGCTAGCACTAATCCAGAATTAAAAGATAACCCTCAACTGAACTGGGCACACTAAAACTACATGCTACTCTTTAGCTGTTATTGGCATATGTAAGGCAGAAGTAACTACATGAATCTGGCTTAAATTAAAGGTTAAGTTAAAGGCAGTGATATCAACTTTGTTTCCACAATTAGCAGTCCTGACAAGAGAATTCAGCTTGCCCTTTGGTGGAAAACCATGACACAAAAAGATACCAACTGAAGGATAAGAATCATGAGTAAAAACAACAAGAACGATCAAAAACTAATAATCGTGAATCGCCTCCTCTTCTCCATGCGCATCTCTACCCGCCATTGAAGCTATGTTAGGACTGGCGCGAGGCATGTTCACTTCCTCTCTAGAATTTCACTTCCACCGTAGGTTTTTAGAAACTCAAAAACTTTTGCCGTGGTGTTCACAAACTTTTGCCGTGATGTTCACAAACTTTTGCTGTGGTGTTTACAAACTTTTGTCGTGATGTTCACCAACTTTTGCTGTGGTGTTTACAAACTTTTGCCGTGGTTTTCACAAAATTTTTCTGTTCGTCAATTTTGAAATAAAATTTATTCTCCAAAACTTAAGGGATGAATGTAGAGTAGATGTTGACATAATTTTTTTTTAATTTTGTGGTATTGACTTAAGAGTTTTGCCGTGTTGCGGGCCACTGTAGCATCCAGTATTCGTTTCAATCAGGAATTCAAGGCTCAGAGCACCCAAACCCAGTGGTACAATGGTACGCATCGTACTACCTATTTGCCTGATAATCGCGAGGGTAAAGAAGTCTTAACGTACGATTGGTTTTTACTGTGGGTACCTCCATAGCAACAGGACTATTTAATCAGATCACGTGGGATGATATACATCATAAGACGCAGGATGCCTATGGGTAAGTAAGTTGAAATTTGTAACGTGTCACGCAAGGTGGGGTGCTCTTTTCACCGTGAAATTTCGCGACGATTATAATTGACCGTTGATCCTTAACGTGTTGAGCAAGACCTCGCCGCGAAAGGAATCTGATGACCTTTAGCAGTTGGCCACTTACATGAAGAAAAATTGAAGCCAGGACACCGTACCTGTTTCGGGCTTTTTTGAAACGAAGGCTTGGCTTGGTAACAGCACGTAACAATTCTTGGAAATTTGCAGAGTCACACTGTAAAAAATTGTCCCGCTAAAATTTCAGTTTGAGTTCTTCTACTTCCTTGCAGGGTCATTTTACATGAACAACCTTTTTTGTTCGGTTAAGGAGGGCAGGGGGTTTTGGGGAAGTCACATGGTTTTCAGGGAGAACTGTGGGGGATCAGTCGTGGCCGACGGAGTATGAAAGGGTGACTTGAGAAGAATTAGGGTCATTTCGCCCAATGGTCATTTTGCCCGCAGTCACTACGCTCCAACCAAAAGTCAGTTCGCTCCATAATCGAAGTCACTTCGCTCCATACAAAAGTTACTTGCTACTAGTTGTAACTGGTCTTTGGCAGTTACGGAGAAAAGTTTTTGTATAGTCATTCGCCTTTAAGACATTTAAAACATATTTCCTCTCCTCAGCCTTCGAATCGAGAGAAGATGGTAGACAGTCAGCCCACCTGAGTAAAGTTTTGGCTACAGACTTTTTATGGCAAATAGGGTGGTGAGAATCGAAAGCGAGGTATTTTTCGGTGTGGGTAGGTTTACGATCGGCACTTGTCTCTAAAATTTAAATCAAGAAAGGGCAAAGGGATCAGGTAAATTATATCGTGACACAACCCAAATGCTCCAATCCCCCTCCCCCCGCGATAAAAAGTGACCGGTCCCCTAAGGGATTGTTGTTATTGCAATTCTTTGAAAGTTATGTTACATTTGAAGAGTACAAATATAATTTTTTCGACGACAATTTTTTTGACGATAGACACGAACTTTGCGTTGATTTTATATCGTTAGAATATTTCAACGTGCACCAAGTTTTTTGGACAGTCTTCTTGAAATTGAACAGGAAACTCTCTGCCCCCTCCCCGGAGAGACGTAGCTGACGATATTTCTCTCGCATACCAGAACGAAATTTGGTTGAGAGGAGGAAGCATGGACCCGCGTTTCTTCGCTTTGTTAAAAATGAGAGGCCACAAGATTCATCAATCACTGATCAACCCGAAGCTGAAGAAGAATGCCGCAAAGTTCATAACGTTTGCATTCAGACAAGGGTTGAAGACCCTATCAATTGCCAAAAGTTCTCAAGCTGGAGAAAGCTTATCAGAGTTACAGCCTACACACTAAGACTAATTTGGAACCTGCGAGCACAATGTCACAACAAAACACACTCGGATGACAATGACATGAAGCGTAAAGAGGGTCCTACATCACCCCAAGAGTTACAAGAAGCAGAATATCACTGCATCAAAGAAAGTCAGAAAAGTCTGAGTAACCGCCTCAAAAAGGGAGAACGGAAAAAAGCTCAGTCCATTGACAGATTCTGATGTTATCACCCGAATAGGTGGTCGAGTAGACAAAGCCTTGGTCTCTTACGAGATCAGTGGAAAAGACAACGAGAAAGTTCTGGATACTTAGAGCCCATAATCTTGCCAAATCAATAAAGTTTCGATGCGTGTTTTGCCGTAAAGTGCAAGCCAAGGCCAAATCTCAAATTGTGGCTGAATTACCTGAATGCCAGGTGGCACCTATTACACCGCCGTTTCACTACAAATTTCCAGCCATTACTTTGGCCCGTACCATGTGAATATAGGTCGCAACAAGACAACCAAGTACTACGAAGTCATATTTACGTATTGAATACAAGAGCTTGCAGTAGACTGCTCAACCATGGAGTTTATTCATGTACTCCAAAGATTTCTTACCGTGAGAGGACAACCCAGCTTCATTATAAGCGACAATGGATCCCAGTTGTTTATTGGAGTAGAGCGAGAGCTAAAGGAAATGATCAAATGATGGGACTCCGAAAAACTGCGTGAATTCTCAGCAGAAAAAGGCATTTAGTGGAAATTTATCACACCGGCATCACCACGTCAAAACGGATGTGCGGAAGCGTTGGTGAAGAACTACAATTTAGCCCTAAAAAAGCCTATTGGAGAGTAAGTGTTGACGCCCCTCGAGTTTTATACGTGCCTGTTAGAAGTAGCTAACCTCGTCAATCAAAGTCTAATTGGCCGCATTATAGACGACCCTGACGATGGATCGTACCGTGAGAACTCGCTTCGGTAGTTTCGCTCTAACATCTCTGATAGGAAACAGCGCACATGTTATGGGAACGAGTTTTCTGACAAGTTGCCAGTCACCCACAGAGTTCCTCAGGGAAGTATGTTGGGCCCCGTGTTATTTGTCATCTACATCAACGATTTGTCAAGGGTCCAATGTGCCTGTCAAGTGTCACTCTACGCAGACAACACAGGAGTTGACCGACTGGCTCAATCAAGACTTCCTAGCGGTGGCAAAATGGCTAAACGAACATAAGTTAACACTGAATCTGGACAAAACCAAATGCATGCTCATAGGCAGTAACGGGAAATAGAAAGCAAAGTAGCTCTAACTGTGTCAATTTAACCATTATGTGAACAATGTCAGTTGTTTTAAATATCTTGGAATTTTAATATTGTCTTATTTTACTTGGACTAATCATCTCGAATACATTGCAGGAAAAATTAACCAAAGTCCTAGGCGTATTAAGCATTTATTTCCGTTTAGAGCGCGCATCACTTTTTTACAAAAGTCTTGTCATGCCCTTATTTGAGTACGCAGATTTAGTTTAGGGTGACAAGTATGATGTAACTTATATGTCTAGCCAACAAGTTTTGCAAAATAAGGCAGCTAAAATCATTTAGATCGTCTGCTGTATTCATCTGCATCGCATGCATTGGCGACTCTGAAGTGATACCGTTAGAGAAAAGGCGTTTCCAGCGAAGATGTGTGCATGTATATAAATGTCTAAATGGACTTACAAACCGTGAATTGACTTTAGTAACACAACAACACAATTACAACACAAGAAATAAAGCCAATCTTAGACTCCCCAGCGTTAAGAGGAACTGGGGGAAACAAAGAGCTGTAAGTAGCCAGGTAATAAGAGAATCTGCTAACATTAATACATTAAAGCGAAATGTATTTTAACTTCTAATATAATTCTTAATTATAATTCCTTTTTCTTTCTTTTAATTTTATGTATATATTTTAGACTTAATCTACGAGGCCATTTT